CTACTCCTACTCCTACTCCTACTCCTACTCCTACTCCTACTCCTACTCCTCCTACTCCTACTCCTACTCCTACTCCTCCTACTCCTCCTACTCCTCCTCCTCCTGCTGCTGCCGCCGCTCCTACTCCTACTCCTACTCTTACTCCTACTTTACCACTAGTACTAAGAAAACAACGGCTATTACTAGTATACAGCAACAGCCACAACCACAGGAAATGCACAACCATCATGCAGCATGTAGATTGCCAAGAAAGGAGATTTGGAGTCTACCATGGCAGGGAAGACTTGGGCAACTTCCCCCATCTCCGCCTGTTTCCTCTTGGGCGGTGGTGGCCGCACACGGGAGCTCCTGGACAGCCGTATATTGGCCACTCTGGAGGGAATGAAGTACCAACAAGCAAAAGTAGAGTAGAATCTGACCCTGGTGACCGTCTACCTTCACTACTGTACTGGGGTCACCCAAACTATTGATTGCCTGAGCAGTGGTTTCATAAAATATTCATCATCTCCTGACAAGGTTTGATGTATACAACACGGGTGGTGCAGGATGTTGCCCACCAGCAAGGGAGAACAAGTTCCTTCGATAAATTGATCCAGTCATCAATGGAGCAACAACTAAACCACTGCGCAAACTGTACACTACACACGAGTATGGTGGCATCCTAGTCCTCAAGCCCTGGTTGAGCCCAACAGTCTGCCAAATATAACATAAATATGAATAATGTAATCCCCAATCCACTCCGATACCATCGAATCGGGAAAAAAACGAGGTCTCCTGCGTCTCAACGCTGCTTCCAGCTCACGATTGCCTGCGCAAAAAGCACCGTCTGAGCGCCAAGATTCACGAAAGCTCAACTGCAAAGTTCACAGAAGCGACACTGGAAGCGGCACTTGTCAACCGACCAAAACAAGGGCATTGATTTGGTTGACGATGGTTCTTCGTAAGCTAGCACATGGTGTAGTTGCTACACTTCATTACACTTCCACTTGGAAACATGTCAAATTGGATCTGATTCCCTCCAGGATCTCGAACAACTTCAGTGTCCTGAGGTGGTGAAGTGGGAGGAGCCTACTAGGAGCCATCCTGTGAGTGTCTGCCAAGCATGAATCAATGCATGTTTATTCCTGTTTGCCACCGCCGGAACCCTCCAAGGGGAGAACACACATGAGAGATCATGAGAGTCAGATAGAGTCAAGACATCAATGTTCAATCCAATTCACATCGAACCACGCCCTAAAGTGATCAAGACATCAATGGGTAGCCCCGCTTTTCGAACAAGCGTGGCACTGCTCGAAGGTCAGCAGGCCCCCACGGGACGGAGACAACATATCCTACCAACCAACCCACACACATCCATGTCCTCCACCGAAATGGAACGCCGCTCACTTCCAAGAGTCCAAAGGCGCCTTCGGTGAGGCTCAAGGACTGTTGCAGCATCAAATCCGCCACACAAAGTGCCTGGACGTCAAACACCACCCCACACACACAACCCCTCCAGTAGGCCTTGAGACTCTTTCCGTTTCTTGCTGGGGCAGTCCACTGTATAGTGGTTAACCTTGTGACTGACATGACGTCCTTCGTCTTTTTCGTATGGGAAAGGATCCTTTCCAATAGGAGCGGAGCGTTTTCCTCAAGGATCCTTTCCAAAAGTCCTTTCTCCCCTTGAACGACGTGACGAGAAGTGAATAACGCTCCGCCCGAGGAAAACGCTGGTCGACATCCAAATCTTCCTCCAGTCGAGCAAGGACTGTTGTTTTCTTGGTAGCTGAGCTCGCTATGGGTTGCCTGCAAATTGCTAACCTCAGGCGACTCTGCATCTGTTGCCGATGAGAGCTTGTATCTGAGCAAAATGGAACTGTGGAGGAATGCTGAATACTGCATGCCCAAAAAGAGTTGAACATCATTGAACGCTTGGTTTACGAGTGCCCAAAGTTGACAGTGAGGACCTGGTTCTAATAAATATCCCCGAACATCTCCGTCTCCTACCTTATACATCTCATTTTAGCTGAATTTCCAAAGGTGTTCATTCTGCGTTGGGTGAGTTACATGTCCTAACCTGTACTCGACTCTAAGCAAACAATCTTCAGCATGAAAAGGGCGACCAAGCGGTAGGAACAAATCAAGGGAACAAAGACAGTGAAGTTTAGACTGGTTACAGTATATTATATGTTTGAATGGCCATCCTGCCCTTACCAAGGCCACATTGATGATCATGCCTCTTCAACCTGTTACAACACAGTGTTTTGACCATACGTGAACATATCCCTCGGGTGGAAGGACACGACAACATCTCACTGTAACAAGCTGCAACGTCTACGTTACAAGACCCAGCTCTACCCCCGAACCAATTTGTCTGGCACATAAGAGGCACCTCAAATGCTGAGCATCTTGAAAGAAAAAAAGCCTGTTGCAGCCTGTTACGCACAAACATAAGAACACACCCACACATAATACTTACCTACCGTGTTACCGTATAATATCAAATATTATCAATTGACTTAAACGATCTTAAACATATTTAAACAACTGCTAGGCGGCTTGGCCACTCAAATCACCGATGGTTTCTTATAACCTCCCGTGTCTGCCGGCCTGCTGCCAGCATTCGGCTGAGCACAACTCCTTCAATGCACGGTTGCACTCGGACTCGTCCTTGGTGGCAGGGCACTGGTCCTGCGCACCCCGAAGGCCAACCCTCCACCCGCACCCTGACCTCATAGGGCCAACACCAAGCAGGGCGTGGAAGACGGGGCAGGAGATGCCATGACATGGGCAAATACAGTGAATCATTGAATCATGAGAGTGTACAGTGTACATGTCTAAAATATAAAAGGCCAGCAAACAACATCCAAACAATATCTCTCCCTTATATTATCTCTCCCAAAGGCTGACAAAGATTCCATATTCGGTATGGAAAAAAAACACTTGCCAGGGGTCGCATTCTTGGGGTCGCCAGATTTGGCGCCAAAAAAAATCCAAGGGATGAATTTGGTGCCGCGAACTGCCACGGCATGGTGGACCTGGACGTCACCGATCTGAGAAAAAGACGTCTCATTCGGTCTCGTTGCAATCGAGCGGCTGAAGCCAACTGGGAGCCCTATTCAGCAGGCTTGGGCGGGCTGTTGGCGGTGACCCGTTCATGGTGATTCAACCGGCTCAGGAAAATGTCTTTCAATGGTCGCTTGGGAAAGTGGAAGGTGACAAGTAAGCTACCCTCCGCTTCCAAACCCTATAAAAAGAACGGGTCTGATCCGATACCTCGGGTCTTGGTGATGGCACCATGCAAACATCGGGTTTTCATCGAAAACCCCGGGTTTTCCTGTACACCCTTTCTTTTGGTATTCCAGGAGGGTTCAGTTTGTTTGGAGGTTGCAGTGGATAAACATTTCAACCCTTCGTCAGGTGCGTCATGGCTCGTGTCACATGTGAGCGCAGGACATCGAGGAGATTAGGTCTTTCATCTTGGATTTCAACATTTCAAGGAAACACTAGCCAATGTCGGAACTTCCCCCGAAGACATGTTCATCCCTCAAGCTGGAGACTTCAACCAAACATGATACCATCGTCACACGATGCTTGGAAACTTGGGCACTCACACTCTCCTCGGAGCTGCCCGCTGGCGCGATCCTTTTTTCAGCAGAGCCGGGAGCTTGGTCGCCACTCGAGTCCTGCAAGATCCGTGAGTGGACTGACGTGAAAAGTAGCAACCCTCGAAGAAGCTGCATACAATATCCATGTGGCATATATGTGTGTGGTTGCCAAGCAGTTTATTGAAGTTGATGAGTTTTCTAGCACCATTTTGGTTCAAATTTTTTGAGAGAGAACTCTCTCGGGGCTATAGAGCATCCAAGAGCCATGTCGTCTTCTGAAGCGAAACCAAAGCCAAAGGGAAGGCCGGTTCAGCCCAAAGAAATGCTAGACATAACAGGTGTCGGCAGCGAGTGGGATTCTTGTGAAGAAGTTAGGGATCGCATGAGGAAGGACGGGCTTTTGATGTCAGAAAAAGTGGTTGAAGACATCCCATCCTGCCTTGACGAGAAGTGTGTCTTGTGGCCATTCTTGGCACGGATGAGTTTGCTGCGCACACGTCCTATGCCAGATGTGGCCAGTTTGCGCGTGGAAATCCAGGAGTTTTTTTTGACGTGCAAAAGGCCTGCCACCAAGGACGATGAAGCTGAGATCATTCGTTTGTCCTGGAGGATTAGGAAGCTCTTGGGCTTCATCAAAATGAAGACCCGCCGCCACGAGGTTTCTACGGCGCCTTGTTTGGACTGGTTTGGAACAAAACTGGTTTCATTTTTGGGGAGGACGGTTGCTTCAAATTTCCATTCTGCACTTGAGGTGCCGGACTTCCAAGATATGTGCCTTGAGCTGGACCCTTCGCTTCAGGCTAGAACACTGGGATAATCTAACTCGACTGATCAAAAGCTTGGCTACAATGCGCAACCTCTTATTGTCTAACAACTGGCTTTCTTCTCAAATCACAGCCCTTTGCACGGAGGAGGTTGTGGATGCCATCAATGCCAGATTGAAGGCTCGCAAGGCTGCAAAGGACAGGTTTTTGTGGCGCATCGGCTTTTGAACAAAATATGAGATGTTTTGATGGAAAGCTGTTTGTTTCGGCTCTTTGGATCAATTCAACTAGCCTCTAGCTTCACACATCACGCAGGAGACGGGTGAAGCGGTCGATGACGAGGACGACTGGGATGAGGAGGGTGAAGAGTCAGAGGGGGGCAGTGAAAAGGGGGGCGATGAGGCGGAAAAGGAACCCGTTGAAAAGGGGTGCGATGAGGCGGAAAAGGAACCCGTTGAAGAGGGGGGCGATGAGGCGGAAAAGGAACCCGTTGAAGAGGGGGGCGGTGAGACGGCAGCAAAGGAACCCGTTGAACCTGTACCTATAGCCACAGAAACTGTTCCGGGCGATGGGGTGGACACACGACCGGCGGAACCTGCACCGTTGCCTCCACCTCCTGATCCAGTCGCGAAGAATGAAACGAGCAGCCAGACTTATTGCTTATGTTTCTTGTTGCTTCCTTCAGATCTCAAGTGTGAGAGAAATGTCGCTTATGAGTTATCCGGTTGCTCAGGTATTAAATCTGATTTGCTGAAGCGCAAAGCTGAAGTAGAAGAAAAATTGAAGAAGCCATTGGGATCGCATTGCGTGATAACAATGTTTCACAACGCTGATTCAACTTACTTGTCACCCTTTGAGCCTATGGCGTTCTCTGATAGCCTTTGGTATCTGAGGTTGAGAGAGAAGATTCACGCCGATGCCCAGATGGCCTTGGAGCAGAAGTCTGCTGCAGCCCACCCCAAAGTTCCAGAACAAAAATCTCCGGATACTCCGTCGCTGGCAAGCCCTGCGCCCCACATCTCTGCTTCTGCAGTTGCAGGCTTGCGAAATGTTGCATATTGGTTGGCATGCGTGTACATAATGTGGTTTTCTGTTTGTTGTTTTCCTTGTTGGAGGCCAGTCAAGTGATGACACACTTCCGTATGAACCTGCGGCAGTTGAGCTTCCGGACAGTCTACCACCAACATCGTCTCCGGCCAAGACTGCAGAGGAACGTCGTGCGGCTTACCAGGGTGCTGGTGAGTTAGGCTCAGAAACTGCAGTTCTTGGGGCGACCTCGGAACGTCCGGAAGATCCAAAAGATGCGGAACCATTCACGGAGAGTGATGAGGAGGCGGGAATGTTTCTTTTGCATATTGCGTCGTAAGTTTTGAGCAGCTTACTGATCGGGCCACTCACATGGCAGGAGAGACCTCCCGGACCGCTTGTCAGCAGGCAGGATCAACTTGATATGAAACCAGAAACAAAAGGGAAGGGCAAAGGTCGAGGAAGGGGCAAAGGTCGAGGAAGGGGCAAAGGTCGAGGAAGGGGCAAGGACAACAACCAGGAGAGTGCAAGGGCTGGCTCTGCTAAGCGTAAGCGCTCAAACGAGGCTGTTGGGGCAAAGGCTAAGCAGGCCAAACCTGCCGGCGACGAGTGGGATGATTGGGAAGCTTGGGTGCCTTGGGGGAGCGATGATGTTGAGTGGGATGGTTACTACTGGTGCCCAGAGTCTTCCAGGTGGTTGTGGGATAGCGTCGCGTATTGGGATGCACAAATGGCTAGGGATGAGTTGCAGGCTATGAGTGAAGAGGCCAATCCAAGGTTGAAGAGGCAGCGCATGAAACAAGCAGTGGAGGAAACCGACCCACCAGGTGCAAGTGCGAGTAAAAGGCAACGTCGCAGCAAAGAAGCACAGCCAACAACAACAGCAAAGCAAGCACGTACTACAGCAGCAAAAAGCAAGGCAGCAAAAGCAAAAGGCAAGACAGACAAGGAGCAGCCAGAGCAAGCAAGCCCCGACGCGACACAACAACCGAAGTTCATGAAGGAGATTTTGGCTGTCTTGCGAAACTTTGTCGGTGTCGATGAGTGTGATCAAAAAGCCGAACTCCAATCGCAAATATCAGATTGGCAGCACAAAACATGCAAGTTTGGCAATGTTTACTGGACACGTGGAACCTGTGGCCTGCATTGCTTGAAAGAAGGGAAGGACTTCGCTCATTTCTCTTGTCCGGTGAAAGAGCTGCCTTTGATGATCAAAATGGCTGCATCCTTTTCCGCAGCTATGATTACCGCCCCTTGGGTTGCGACAGAGTTGAAATCTCAAAAATGTTCATCGGGGGAGTTGGATATTCAAGTTGGTCGGTTACATTAGCTCAGGCCGCTCATGCAGATTCAATTGTGGCTAAATCTGGCAAGCGCAAGAACCTCCGGGACTATGAGGAGCTGCAGGATGTAATTGCGCGTGTGAAGGGGGCCTGTAAAGATGCTGCCCTCGAGTTCTCGAAAGAACAAGAGAAATCAACATGATTTCCTTACCGTTATCTTTTGCCATGCGCTTCACTGTTTGCCAGTTGCGTGCTGAGGGTTGCCAAGTTGCAAACAACTTGGCTTGGGGGTGCACGCAACCGCTGGCTTAGCACAGAAAAGCCGTTAATGGCAATTTGCGATGAATCTGGTGAATCAAGGTCACTTCCAAATAACCAAATATGTAAATGCATTGTTTGCACACAATGTACAACGTTAGCCTTGGAGTCGTGGTGGCCTCATGATCCCCGCACAACGGCGCTCAACCATCTTCTCAAAACTGTTGAACATCTCAGTGGTTATTATTGTGATGGTTTCCAAGCAAACTGTTCATGGCACATCGATTTGCGGAAGCAGCCGTGTGCAAGAAATGCTCAAGGAGCAGCTGCACATGCCAGGTTTAAAAGGCTATTGCTGAACGTTCTTTCCGACATGCGCGCGTTGGAGTTGGTTTGCGTTTTAGACTGCACTTTCTCTCTTCTTACCCAAGCCCTATCAACCTCTCACACCAACTTGCACTCTTTGATTCCTGTCCTGCCAAGGCGATGGCGAATGGGCAAAGGTGGGATCCGCCGCAAGAACCTGTGGCAAATCCGGGCACAGCAGCTATCGCTGAAGCGTACTCCCTGCCAGCTTACAAGCATTCAAAGTGTCAGATTCAGCTTCTCTAGGGTCTTCTGCATGTGCGCTGGACAATTTGGTATTTCCATACTTCCCGTCGCCGTATGATGTCCAAAAGAACTGGGGTAAACCTTCGGAGCAAAACATCACAAATTTGACATCAGTTCATCCTGCAACGCCCAAACCTTTGGAGCATGTTGGACTTGGACGCCCTGGTTTACCGCCTAAAAGTGCTTCGTGCACCAAAGGCCAGAGACCTGTGAATACGATTTGCGGTTCCTCTGGTTATCAACTCTAAAACTGGCAGGCCTTCGTGCTCTGCGTTCTGCTCTTGGTGTGGAGCTTTGACGTTCCACAGGCCGGCCGGCAAGTCCTGCTGTAAGGAGATCGTGTGTTTATCTCTTTGTCACCCCATTCTTTTGCAGGTGTATTCATGGATCGAGTATTTTGCCGGTGAAGGAAACCTCACAAAAGTTATGATGGCAGCCGACTATCGGTCAACCAGATTGGATTTGTTGGACAACATTCAGCCACCTCACCGGAATTCCAACTTTATGGATATGACCCACGGATCTGGCTTTGCGCTGCTTTGTTCAAACATGTTCCTTTTGTGCTGAAAGCTATAAGGGACCTGCAACCCTGATAGATTTTGTATGGGGCTGAGGCTTGCTATCTTATGTTTGCTTCGAACAGTACCTGGGCCTGGTGGATTTGCAACCCACTTCGGGATAAAGTGCTCCTCCTTCTCCAAGATGAATAGAGGTACGAGCCAGCGCTCAGCATGTTCCTCGAGCGGTTTTGGTGGCTACCAAAGCGTGCGGGTGGGAAACATGCTCCTTGAAAGGATACGGGCTGTGAATAAACAATGTATTAACATATTGAAGTATAATGATAGGTTTCTCCTGCCCTGGAGGACATGTTGTTTGATACTCCTTGCGACTGCGTTGGGTGGTGCTTGGAGCCTAGAGCAGCCATCCGGATCGCTACTAGAATTTTATCCAGTGTTCAGGGAAATGCTGGAGAGCATTTTCAATTGCGGAGGCGCACACGCGGTCGGAGTCCTAGATTTCAGGGAGGTGAGGAAATTGAAAGAACAACACCTGTCTTGATATAAACCAAGAAAGGCCGATCGAACTCAGGACACATTTTTTGGGCGCGACCTTTTTTCACCAGCATGACTTTCAAAACTTGGTTGAAAAGGGCGCGGCCAAAACATGTGTTTTCAGGATCATGATGTTGTTCTGTGATATGTTCATTGTTTGTGACCCCTTTGCTTCCCATCATTGGTGATCACAAACAGTTAACGTAACATATAATATGAGGTCTCAATGGTCCAGTGGTGGATGGCGCACTATTCCTCTGCTACTCCAAAGCGCCACTACGCTTACGGGAACAGTGAAGAGATTCTACGATTTGACAAGGGCAGGTTGGAGGGCTGGAAAGGCGATCCCCGCTGCAAGAAGACGACAGTTGACCGTTATCGTGATTCAACAGGAGCCGTTCGATACAAGGGGAATCGAAACCTACGTGGGACAGAGTTTCTAGGCTAGCATTTGGTGTTTCTTCAGCTCGTCATAGTCTGCTCAAGGGTATCTCTAGATTCCACAGGGCGGCTCCATTTCTGGCCTTCAATTTAAACACGCTCACTCAAACCACCCTTCCTATTGTGGATGAGCTGTCCGTCTGCCGAGGGTGTATCCAGTCCCATTTGCTCGGCTAGTGGCTGACCTTGTGGAGGAGCACAAGGCCAAAGCGAAAGGCCAACCTGAGTGCCCCGATTCAGGTGTTTTTCCACCTGCTTTGGAGACGTTTCAGTCGGCGGGCTGGCATGAAAGCGAGCTCTGGGAATATGTAGACTTCACCCAACTGTTTGGATACTTGAGGGGCGGCACTCGCCTAAAGATCCCTGAAGAGTGGAGGCCAGTGATTCCCGGGGGGCTGTGAAGAATAGCTATTGGTGGTCCCTTTGTTCTTCATATCCGACACCGATGCCTAACATTCGGCCGATTTACCGGTTGCTCTTAGATTTTGATCGGTTTGACAAAAAAAAGAAAGGGTCTAGATCAAACCCGTACTAAACCCATACTGAACCCATTATTTACCCATACTAACCCATTATTTGCGAACCAAAACCCCGGGTTTGTGTGAAAACCCCGGGTTTTCCAAACCCGTACTAAACCCGTACCGAACCCATTATTTACCCATACTAACCCATTAAAAAAAGTATGGGTTTGGACCACCCCCCGGAAGCACTTTTTGCATAACAATTAGTGCTCTTGCTTGGCTCCGAGCAAGATGCCGACAACCGTTGCGCTGGGAAGACTCAACATTGAGCGAGCGACGCGGTATCTTTGGACATGTTTTCTGCAATCATGAGCTTTGAACACCTGAAGTGTTTTTTTCATGCGCATGTTGCAGCAACTTTTTGACAAGTGAAGGCTGTAGCTTGAGTCTACTTGTAGAGATGTCACCTTCCAACCGGTGGAGTTGTGGAACTTTGGCGGATGGAGTCAAGCATGTTGAGACACTGGACGACGAGCATCAACTACAAATGGAACTGCAGGACGAGTCACACCACACACACGCTTTTGGAAGCCCCCGGGCGTTGATGTTTCAAGATGCCCGTCTCACTCCAGGAACTCCAGAACCAACTCACGTGTTTGGAGGCGGCTTCTCACGATGAACTGCAGCGACAGCTTTGTTAGAGTTGTCCCATCGTGAGCTAATTGCAAAACACTCCGTGTGTGTCTTGTTGAGAAGTGGCCTGGACACCCATTTTTTTAACACAAAAACATGCGTCCAGGACACTTGTGAAAACCCGTCCAAGTCCGCGCGCGCCGCATTCAGGCCGAGAACCACACAGACCCGAAGGCTGAGTCTCAAGAGACTGTGCCTGCCAAGCGCTTGGATATCGAACCGTGCCGCAGTCTTTTTTGTTTTTTGGTACAGTCGTAATAGTTGCCTGAGGCTTCAGAAGATGAGATCAAAGAAATGTTTGCTCTTTTCAAAGATCGTGCATTTCAGTTGCATTTTAGGCAAGGGTCACCATTCGCCCTTGGACTCTCACACTTGTGTCGAAAGCCTTTAAGGATGCTGGCACTGTTCCACTGGCAACTGCACCCGGGTGTGAGTCTTCAGAGATGAAAGATGTTGCAGGAGCCGCGCTTGTGGACGCAGCCGAACGGCCATCTATTGTAGACTTGGAAACCCCAGAGTCTCCCTCAAAGAAACCTAGCCTGACTTCTGCGCCCGGTTCTGTTGAGACACCACCGCCAACACCGGCCGAAGCACCGACCACCAGCCCGCCTGGCACTCCTGCAGCTGGAGCATCACGCAAGGCAGCGCTGTCTCATGTCCTGAGACGAGATATGCATGTGCATGGTTATACCTTGCTTGATGCGATGTCTTTTCTAAACCACATGTGCACAGTGTAACTGTCATGCATACACCATCATACACCGTATACACGGCTGCAGGTCCAGCTCCGTTTGGCCAGCAAAGCACGACTCATGAGGTGGGTCAAACCGAAGTCCAAGCGTGCTAACATGGAGGCACCGGACTGGGTAAAGGCCGAGTGGGCAAAGGGGGACAAGAACGCTATTGCGGATTTGTATGTGCATTGCAACTTCAACCGCGAACCTTGCACGCAGAAACATTCCACACAAGAGTTGTGCATGGTTTTATGTATGGTTAATCTGGAGTCTGGGGTGTACACGGTGCAACGTCAGGAAGAGTTCCAAGCCGGGCTGACTATTGCAATCAAGAAAAAGCAGATCGTAGAGTTGACTGTCAATGAGGGCTGGTATTCAGTGAAAGAGATGCTCAATGACCTGAAGTGGTCTCAGTGATGGACTTATTTAATTCATGTTCACGGCACACGGTTGGAGATTGTTTCGGTTCAGCACGACCCAAATATTCCATCAGGACCAGAGTTGACGGCGCCGTCGCCCGCTGTCGCCAGCTCGGCGCATCTCACTGCCGGTGCTCCGAACTGCATGTATACTACTCTAACAAAAGAGTCACGTTTCAAACCATGTTTGTTGGCCTTGACCGATCCCAGCTCAGGAAGAACCAATATGATGGGGAGGAAGAGTTCTGGATTGTTATTCGCGAGACCGGTGTGAGACAAGAGCATCAAAGCTACGAGGAAACTCATGAGGAGGTTTCCAAGGCCACACTTATTACCTCCTGCACCGTGGGTTTGGAACCAATCCATTGTTTTGTCGGGCTTTGCTCTGCCACTGGGTCTCAAGTTCTGTTCTTTTTCACGCGCCTTTCCATGCAGGCTTCAGAGAAGCCCGAATTCAACATGGGCGGGGAGAAGTTCCAGGGTCTGACTGACATGATGAACCGCGCCGGAGCGGAGCGGTCTTCTGATAAGACACAGCCAGCACAACAATCCAAGCATGCCCAGGTAGGGGCTTGGTAGGAAACATGTGAACTTATCGTTGCTATGTTCAGTTTTTTTGACTCCGTGCCCTTTGCTAGACCAAAGAAGCTTTGAGAAAATTCAAAGACAACATCATGGTGAAGAGCGGCAAGTTGCGTTCTTTGATCCGGGAACTCCAAACGAAGTTCAACACTGACGAAGCCAAGGAGTCCCTCTCCTAAATTTAAAATCAGAGCCAAGGTTCTCAAGGTGCAGTCTGTGTGCAAGAAACGCGAAATCCAGGTTCTCCTCTACCGCCGCGTCGGCCATCAGGTGCATCAGTTCCCTGAGGAAGGCCGTGGAGAGCGTCGACAAAGAGTTCGATCTGTGCAATGAAGTCTGGGTCAAGGGGGAGACCGAAGGCTTCTTTACAGAAAAGCTTCTGGGTTAAAAGAAACATAACTTAATTGCGGAGCGCTCAAACCCAAACAGGTGGTCTTAACAATCGCCAACGCAACCTTGAGGTTCTATGAGATGGCGGAAAAGCGGATGAGAGAAGGTACCATGACGTTCCTGCCTCACCTTCATGGGTTTTACCATAGCCTGTTGTTGAAGCTTCCCCGCAAAACTGTCAAGGTGCACCCGGGCAGCAGGCACCGAGCTGAAAGCAAGGACCGTGTTTTGATCAGCAAGATGCACTCACCCCTTTCACTCTTACTTTGGTGCATAGGGTCAAGAGCCATGATGCATATACAAAATAAAAATCCCAAGTATGGAGCCAAATTGTTATACCTTATGAATGCTGATGCACGGGCCTACTCGTAATATGACTACTCTCGTTTGCTGTTGCATGGCTACAGCCTTTGTGCACTAGGACCTCCAAGAAGTTCTTCACCAAGAAGTGTGAGGGATCTGAGGGTGGAAAACGTTCCAACAAGTCGAAGGATCGGGAACAAAAGGCTGCACCATCTTCGAAGAAGACGGAAAAGACCCCGAAGACTGGGGAAGCACAGCCGAAGAAAGCTCGAAAAGCATAAGTCTTTTGAACCGTTGTAGGCGGTTGTAGGTATGGTTGTTTTTGCTGCGAGCTGTAGTCCAGGCACTCACAGCTCTGACGTTGCCCAAAGAGAAGTCTAAGTAAGACAGATGTGTTTTAAGATGGTTTAAGTGTCTTCTTTCAAAGGTTTGCTTCTATGTTTGATTTGTTTTTGCAGGGCATATGAACTTTGCAGCGTTCTTGAAAGGGGTTTTTGATTGTGGTACTAGCCGCAATCACGCAGGCAATCGCTCGACTTGCACTGCTGGAACCATCTTTGAAGCCATGAGGGGAACAAAAAAACCGTTTGACCCGTCTTTGATTTGTGCCCGCTCTCTACTCGCTCTCTCGGCGCTATACGGCCAGGTCCCCGACCAGGCCGAGCTCTTCGTGGCTTTGCGAAGAGAGTTGGTCAAGGAGCCCGGGCCTCATCGGCTTCTGCAGCCTCTCCCAACAACAACAACAAAAACAACAACCTTGAGGCCTTGCCACCAGTTACCTGAAACATAGTTTTGGGGTGGGGTGGACTGAGCCATCTTGGTGAGCAAGACTTGAACTCTTGTTGAGGGACCCCCAAAACACAGAGAGAGAGAGAGAGAGACCAATCGTTTGGAATCCCTAGTTCGATTCTAAACATGGCAACGCCGTCAGTGTCCTGTTTTCTCTAACAGTTTCTGTAGAGAATGATGTGTTTGAGGTGGCTTAAGTCAATCAGGCTGGCCTGCGCCAGCATCGCTAGAAGCACCCTCGGTTGCCCACCATGGCAAGGGCCATCACCTCACCAATATTCACAAAGCACATCCTTTCAAAACTTAGTGCGCTGCCACTGGCAATTTCCCACTTGGATTGGGTCATGAAAAAAGACACCCGCAAGTCTGTTTGGCCCCTCCAAAATATAGTTTTTTTGCTATTGGTATAGGACTTGCGGGGGCCTTTTTTCAGGACCCAATCCAAGTGAATTTTTCCTCTTTACAATGCTGCAGTGGACATCGCAGCATGGACATATACATCGTATCACCATACGGATTTTGTGTTTGCATCACTGCTGCTTCTTCTACCCTGGGTTGAGAAACTCCTGGGTTGTGCTCCTTTCCTTTAGCTTGCTGGCCGAGGCTTCCTGCGTCTCAGCCATTGAGGCGGCCCGCGATGTGGTCGCGGACATAGGCCAAGAAGCAGCTAGCGCTTCGAGTGGACTGACAGATCTCGCGGGCTGCGGGATTACCAATTCCGAGCGCGATTGTCAACGTGTGTTTGCGAAGAAATACTCATTGTCAGTGCCAATTCCCTTTTCCTACCTGAAGACCGAGAGTGGGCAAGAGATTCCTTTGTTGAAGCTGCGCCACTGGGTTGAATATCTGGTGCGAAACTCATGCTGGCATATTCTTACGGGATTGGTGCGGCGGGACACTACACGTGAAGGGGACATTTTGGAAGCATTTTGGAGGACCTTCCGCCAAATAGAGCCTGATCATCCGATTTACGAGTTGGAGTCCCAAGGACGACTATCGTTTCGGAGAACTGCTCCACTTTGCTTGCATGGTGATGAAGGCCGTGGGCGTCGTAGAGAGGCCTTCATGATATTGTCATTTAGGTCCCTTCTGGGGCGGGGCCTGCACCCGGAAGCTAGAGTGGGCAAGAAGCTTGGGATAAAACGAAAGTGGTTGAAGCTGAAGCCAAACTTTCGGGGGCATAGCTTCACCTCACGGTATCTGTTCTCGGCAATGAGGAAGAGTGACTACGCCACAAAGGACACTGAGGGGAACTTCGACCTTGTGCTTCAAAAAGCTGCTGAGGAGGCTTGTTACATGTGCAACGTTGGAGTGATGGATGCGAGCGGCCAGAAGTACAACGCTGTCCTCCTGAACGTGATCGGCGATTGGCCGTTCCTCAAAAAATCTGGGCCATTTCAACGGTCGTTCATGAGCGTGCAGAAAAAGAAGACTACCAGGAATCCACCTGGTGGAGTGTGTCACCAGTGCTTGGCTGGTGTGGCTCCATGGGCTTGGGAGCAAATCGGCACCCGAAGGCCAGATTGGATTGCAACAGTCGCAACGCAGTCTCCGTTCGATGGTCCATCAGCTTTAGCTTCAGTGCCCCATGTTGCAAATCGTCTCGAGATGATGTGGGCATGGGATTGGTTTCATTGCTGGCACCTGGGTGTAGGCAAGTGCTTCCTGGCCAGCTCGATAGCACTGCTGAGCGAAAGGGAAAACGGGAGTTCAATCGATGAACGCTTTGCCAGCCTTACTGAGCGATCTCATTCATGGTGCCGTGCAAATGGTCAGCGCCGTCAGGTTGTGAAGCTGAGTAAGGACCTGGTGGGCTGGCCGTCCACCAACGTCTTTCCTACAGGCATCTGGCATAAAGGCCAGCTCACTACCAGTTTGATGGCTTGGCTGGAAGCAGAGTGTTCCGCCAGCGACTTCAGCGATGACCCCTTCCTGCAGGCTGTGAGTGAGGCGACCGGTGCAATTCAAAACTGCATCCGGCAGATGTATCACGAAGTGATCTTTCTCACACCTGCGAAGGCTGAGAGAATCGCAAATGAAGGCATGCGGTTTTTACGCCGCTACTTGAGCCTTGCAGATATGAGCAAAAGGTCGGGGCGGCTGTTGTTTGTTCTACAGCCGAAACATCATGCAGTCCATCACGTGATGGTGTCACTTTGGCAATCATCGCAAAAGAACCTTCCGTCCTTGAACCCACTCACTCTCAGTGTCCAACAAGATGAGGATTTCATAGGACGCGGCGCGCGTCTCTCTAGGAGAGTCACGGCTATGAGGCCGGCGCTCCAGCGCACTATGGAGCGGTATTTAATGTCGGTCTACCATGAATTTGAGAAGGCCGGATATATATTGCAGCCCTCGAGTTAAGGTGAACCCAGTGGTGAACCCCTTTTCTGAAAGCTTCAGCAGTATCAATAGACTGAAACACGTTGTTGTGATCTTGCCTTAGCTCAGGCCCGTGCTTCGTCTGTCGCGAGAACAGTGGCCCACCAGAGCAAAAAAATCTTGCGGCAGACCGTGCTTCTGATCAACGTCACTTCATCTCAAATGAGCAAACATCGGGTTTTCCTTCAAAACCTCGGGTTTTGCTGAGCACCCTTTATTTTTAAAGGTTTTAGAATGGTAAGGTATATTAGTAATGAGCTGATTTGGGTACGTGTCGATTCGGACGAATCTGGCACAGAGTGCCAAGTGGAATGAATTGTATAAAGCATGACACACCATAATTCATTATGAAAAGACAAGCTGAGCAAACAATTCAAACAAAGCTGCAGCATTCAAATGAACCTCACGAACCGTCCGAAGACACGCTGCATCGCCAGGTCGCGACCTTGGTGAAGGGACTCCAAAGACAGGAAACCTACGGGACCGAACTGTTACCCTTCCGATGTCGACCACGGCGCCTGCAGAAGGTCCCAAGCGTGGCTACCTCGACCAGCCTTTTCCGGTTTGGCGAAGGAAAGCGATGGAATCTGCATGCTGCTCATTCATTCTTTCTCAGCAATCACAACCCATGTTTTACATCGGAAAAATTATGCCAAACAACTGCTAAACATTTGCACACCACTGCCACACAGTCTGATAAACTTAGCACTTTGCACATGAATTCCCGATAGGCCAGGCACGGTCGGATTCGATGGTGAGTTTCCGCACGGGAGATCATGGGAGCGTAGATTCAAAAACAAAATAGCTTCAGGGACCCTATTGGAATGGTCGAGAAAAGACTTGCTCCCACTCTGCGCTATGCCCACCCAGAGGTCACTGCGCCTGCAAAAGAGCTGAGAGACCGGTGCTCATTGAGGCCACCGTGGGCTCCTGGGTGCTTTCCGAACCCCCGAGGCGTCGACCTGTCCGACGTCCGAAGTTGGACTCGGCCCGACGCGGCGGTGGGAAGTCCACCAGAATGAGAGCGGAGCAGCGTAGAACATACCTTTGTTCTTTGTTCCTCAGGAGGGGTTGCGCAAGCATGGCGTGAAAAATCCTTTGATGGTGTTCCCCTTCATGTCATAGAGCTCCCAAAATGGTCGATTCATCATCCTAAATCTTGTAGCTGGTACAACTCTGGCCTAGGCCATGGCCATGTCCGCGAACCCCAAAAACACTCGTCCACCTGTAGAAGAACTTCAGGGTCTTGAATTTGCAGCGCTGTCATGGGATTCAACTTTTATGGTTTAAATCAATTTCAGCAGCCGAAAGGCATACTTTAACGACCGGCAACTCCCCCGAGCCTGAAACACATAGATCGTCAAGATCATAGATCTTTGAGAGGAATGTTAGATTTTGAGACCCTCCTCACACTTCTTCACACAAAAAACAAAACAAACAAGCCCGCACAGCTTCGAATTCAAATCAGTAGTTGTCCAAGGGCAAATTGTTGTGAGCATGTTTTGCAATACTTACCGCCGGAAAAGGAGGCACAAGCCCACCGACTTGCCACACACCACGCCGGAAATGAAGCAGTTTTGATACCTTCTCATATACCTTCTCCCCAATTTGGACCCGCTTCCGAAAGCCCACAAGTCCAAGTCCGGCGCCGAACAGCCTCGCGTCGAAAGACGCCGCGCCGGGCGAACTCGTGCCAGGTGTCGATCTGTAGCGCTGGCATCAAGTCCTGCAGCACCCAAAGGGCCGCCGCCCATTCCCTGGCGCGCCTCGGGGAGGTCCACGGTCAGTTGCCGGTCAACCGGTCGAGTCGACGAAGCATATGGATTCAGGGTGAATTGGAACTGATTGGAACTGCTTCGAACGGCTCAGCAATCTTGGCAGCTTCTGGGCACGGTGTCGTGTTTCTCAAGCTTGGATTGCATGTTGCGATGGCGTGGACAGAACATAGGAGATCACATGGATTACAGCATAGTACAGCAATCTAGCAAGCAAGTTGTCCCTGGTTGACAGTTCTTCGAACAAATTCAGCCGTCGGGGCTTTGTGCACACCTTACTTAGAGGTACCAGCTGCCCGATCTGTCAAGCTGCATCCCCTTTCTGATGCTCAAAGATATCAGAGATTTGGGCTTAAACATCAGTTGTTACCGTTGACCTACACCAACCTCCTCTCCCTAAACCCACCAGCCTCCTCTCCCCAGAAGGTCAGAATCCGGACCAACTCATCGGCCTAGGCTTCCGCGCTTGCACGCGCCCATGGCCATGGTCAGCGGCACGACCTGCCGTAACGGATCGGGCGCGATCGTAGCGGACCGTAGCGGATCTGAGGGTCAAAGCTGACATGCAACGGACCTGTGCACAGCAAAAGCTCCTGGATCAACCACTTGCAGCTACCAAGGTTGAAAAGTGGAAAAAACACGTTCCCAAGTTTGTGTCTGAAGCAAGGGATTCTCTGGATTGTTTTGCACACGTTCCCAAGCCTTATGACCTTATGGGCTTGTAGACGACTCCACTTGGCCCAGAAAGAAACACTTCAAACGACATGACATGTCCCATATCTTCTTGTGAACAATCAATCTTCAGGGTTCCCTTTGGCCTCCTGAAATCGCTTCAGCGAAACCATCTCCTCCAGCAGCTGAAGGGCTTGACACCACTCGCCGCTGAGCTCCAGCGCCCTCGAGAAGAAACACACACTTGTCCAGCCAACACCCCAAGCACTTATTTAAAAATGACATAGACTTCACATATTTAAAAAAGCAAACACACATCCATGTTCTTGTATGTTGTTATCTACCTTGAACTACGGGTGGCCCCCCCGTACACAAATGTGCCTGTTCAAAAGCTTGACTAGGTTGTCTGGTGAGAGCTGTCCAAAAAATGACGAATAGTACCATGGTGGCGAACGCGGCATGCCCGGACCAGGTCCGGTCTCAATCATTGTCACCCTGCTTAAGGGCCACTTTCGGGCATAGGGGATGATTGGACAACAGTCTGATGCATCTTTGTAGATTTAATGGTATGTGAGGCAAATCTTGACGCTGTTGCAGGGTGGCTCCCAATATGCAGTGCATCACTGTGCAATAAGGGCATGGACAGCATGTACACCAAACAAGCTGTGATTGGTGCGTGTGATGACAAGGGCGGGGGTTACTTCTTTGAGATATTAACTCTAATACGTTATAGTGACACCACAAATCATAGATCAGAAACATGCTTCTATCAAAGATCTACGCAAAACCCTTGTCTCTGGAACCTCTACGAACAGCGGTCAACTGCTGCAGGAGTTGGTCTAAAGTGTTGATTTTCCTGATCTATATTATATATATACACACATATTTATTGAATTATATTGATATAGCTGCCTCTTGAGCCACAAATGTTTTGCCCACCGGCACTCAGCATTCTTTTCAAGTGTTGATGGGTGATTGTTCAAGCCAAACTGACGAAACAAATGAGTCACTGGGATCCAAAATTGTCCGCAAAATACATGTCCACCAAGGGCCTTTGTCACTGCAACCGTCCTAAGTGGACTCCCCATTCACCTTATTTATATGTATATATATATATATGTACACCTTACTAATATATTATATATATATATATTATAAACCTAATCTAGAAAGTCATTGAACCACTGAGTAAACCCTATCTTGGAGGATCAACTGTCCAAAATGGTCGTTTCCTATCAAAAAGGATGCCAATTGGGTTCCAGGAAGATCTAGGTAGTTCTAATGGCATATAATAAAATAGCATAATATATACAAAAAAACAAACAAATATACATAATTATATATATATAGTTATATTATAGTTATATTTATATGTGAGCTCGTCTCGTCCCAGTCACCTCATCGCTGCATTGAGGCACAGTTGATCGGTCTGCCGGTGCTGCAGCTGCCTGAAGGCACGCACCGCCCCGGCACGTCCGTCGGTGACGCCAAGCGCCGAAGGTCGGTTTCCCCGATGCACGACATTCATCGGTCCGACGCGTTGTCCTTTTCTCATGGATGTGGAATCATGAAGTTTGTTTCAGATTCGTCCGTAGTCACCCGCCATCTCAACTTAAAGAGATTCTCAACTCTTTCCATGAGTTGCCAGTGCACAAAGGACAAACTCCCTAACTAACTGGTAGGGGGTTCACACTGGGGTTCATATACATTATATCAGTCAGTGCATGAGTTGGACTGTGCTGTGACCCCTTTGAACGTCACGAGGCTTTTGAGGCGCCCGGGAAGCGAATTTTGTTGGACCTATTCACCCCCCATCACCACCGACCAGGGGTGTCCAGGTGTCCGAGACGATTGGCCCACACAGGAGGCAAGGTGGCCACAGCAAATCCAAGCCACAGGAGTTTCAGGGCTTCGGGCCACGCTGTTGCCTCACCCAAGGCTTGCATCGCCATCGTCCGCACCGCTGGGCGCTCCTCGGTGGAGAAGACACCGCAGGACGGGCGTCCAAGCGGAGTTTTCTCGCGGCATCTGGGCCGGAAACTTGGACCTGGGATGGGGTGAAATTCCCTGCCCAAAAGAGCTGGCGCCGTGCCTTTTCGGACCAAGCGAGGCAGTATGGTGTCTTGGTCAGGGTTCACACCCTGAAGCTGCTGGAAGGCCAAGCCATGCCAAGCGCTACTCTGGAAACTGGACGTTACCAGCCAAGGGCCAAATCAAATCGACTCTCCCTTGTGAAACTTAGATAGTTGTGGTGTACATTGGATGTTGCTGAAGGCAAAAGGCAACAAACCCAAAGTGCGTGGGTCAAAACGTGTATGGGCATGGGTCAAAAACACTGAACATACCAAACCAAGCGTGTTTGGATCATCTTGGATCCACTGAATATGCTTCCCTAGGAAATGAAATACGATTTGACGGCTGGGATGTTCTGGGAGGCAGTCCAAATCGCATTAAATGCGCTGGGATGACAGTTGCATATGAAGCTGTCGCGGGATGTGCTGGGATGTTCTGGACTAGTGGATCCTCACATGCCAGGACACCCGCGCTGATGATGGCAGCTGGTCGTACACTTGCAGTGCGGCCGCCCAAGAGCTGCCTGCCGAGTTGCCGGGGACAGCATGGCTTCCCAAAATTGGGTTGTCCTGCCAAAGTTCGCCTTGAACAGACTAAGAATCTGAATCTAGAGAGTTCCAATGTATGGGTCTAGTTCTTCTGCCCCCTCCTGCAGAAACAGTGGATATTCAATGAAACAAAGGTCGACTAAGTGAAAAAAACATCTTTGCTTGACCGCCCCAACCAAGCGTAGGGTGATCGTCCAACCACGGCGGTCTCCCTCAAGAAAGCTGGGAACCATTTCCGTCCCGTCCTTTCAAACCAGCTGCCATCGCCAAGGTCTGCGAGACCAACGTCGGCACCTGGGGAATCCAATACGAGATACCATTTGGAAGAGCGAAGTTGTTCCCCACCTTGATTTGACAGATATTTTTTGACAGGCTCACACTTGACCTTTGGCCCGTTGAACCAACACTGGGGTTGAGGGGAAGCGACCAAAGGTTCCAAGCTACATGTTGGGACAGTTTCTTGATCACGTGGATCTGGCCCCAAACATGTAAGGGGTATGAAAAATACGTCGAATTCTGGGCGTCGGATTCTGGTGAAACTCACACCAAAACGTCTAAAGTTTGGAACCCATCCCAAACGCTCCATGGGACTGCCATATATGCCTACGACCCCTCAAACCACCCCTGGCCTGATCGGCAGTCCTATGGCAGTCCCGTGGGTCGTGTCTGGCCATGGATGTTCACGGTCCACCGCCAAGGTGCCAACTGTCGCACCGTCATCTCTCCAAGGAGCTGCAGCGCAGCAGCCCTCCGTGAAGCGGAAGTGACAGAAATCGAAAGAACTGAACCGATGTTGGAACCAACCAACTCACTTTGAGGAATGGGTCAGGTTCAACATCAACATCTCTGAATTGACGTGTTGTTTTCTATGAAGGGCATGTTTGTTTAGCATGTTGCTTGCGCAAATGAGGCCCGTGACTCCACACAGAGGTGCAGCTCTTAGATTCAGAACACGCCGGGAAGTTTCCTCTCGATGTATACATATAAAGAGATGGGGAATTCTTAGTGCTTGTCTCTCAATGCTGCAGAAACAGGGCGGGCATGAAACAACACCAACGAAGACTTGGGCGTTGGGCCGGTGCTCACGTCGAACGACACAGAACACAACACCGAAAGCTAGTGCAAAACAAAGCAAAGATTGGAGCCACGTCAGTGTCACATCGGCCTTTTTTTGGTGGAGCCTGTGCTTCTGAGAGTGTTTGAATCTCTTTTGGTGACTTGCCTTCAATGCCAGTGTTATCAAGAAGATGGATTTGAGGCGGGCATCCCGATGACCAGCGCTGTGATTCCATTTGAGATGTGAATGGCAAGCCCTGCTGGACACATGGACTGAGATGAATTCTCCCTTAGCTCCTCGTGCACTCAGTTGGATCTCTTCAAGAAGCACTTTTGACCGCACCATCTTGATATGAGAAGGCTGCAAGTGAGACATTGTTTGGACACTGGGACCGGCATCTTTGTCGCTGCTGGGAACTTGGCTTGGAGGGCTTGGATCCAATGGCTCTTTTTTCCCCAAACAGTTTACTGTTAGGGGTTCTCAATTCTTTCTTAAGGTGTGTCCGCCCTTTGTGTCGCTGCTGGAGTCCGCCCTTTTCCGCTGGCCATGTAGCACTTCTATTCATTGGTCTCCCTTCTGTTTCCTTTTGTTGCCTTAAGCCTTAGGCGAGGTTATTTCTTGTTGCTACAAGCATCTCCCATGGCATGCCTTTTGTTTCCCTTCTTGTCGGTCATTGTGTCCGTCGTGTCTCCCTTTTTTCCTTGTGTCTGCCTTCTTGTCTTCCTTCATTGCGTCTGCATTGTCTCCCTTCTGTCTCCCTTTGTCTCCGGTCTTGTCTCCCTTCTTGGTGGTCACTGTGTCCGTCTTGTCTCCCTTGTGTTTCCATTTGGCTCCCTTCTTGTCTCCCTTCTTGTTGGTCATTGTGTCCGCCTTGTCTTCCTTGTGTTTCTTTTTGTCTCCGGTCTTCTCCCCCTTCTTGTTGGTCACTGTTTCCGTCTTGTCTTCCTTCTGTTTCCTTTTTTCTTCCTTCTTGTCTTCCTTCTTGTTGGTCATTGTGTCCGCCTTGTCTCCCTTCTTCTGTACCTTTTTGTCTCCCTTGTTGTCCCCCTTCTTGAATTGAGTCCACCTTGTCTCCCTTCTGCCTCTTTGTCTCCGGTCTTGTCTCCCTTCTTGTTGGTCATTGTGTCCGTCTTGTCTCCGTTCTATTTCCTTTTGTCTCCCTTCTTGTTGGTCATTGTGTCCGTCTTGTCTCCCTTCTGTTTCCTTTTGTCTCCCTTCTTGTTGATGTCTCAAAAAGTGGACTTGGGAATGCTTCGTTGTTGTCCCACCTGTTTGGGGTCTACGGTGGCACCCCTGGCATGTACATAGGCTGTCAGTGGCTGTCCAGCAGATCTACAACAAATCGGATATAGTTTGGTGTTGCGTCGTGGTCTCCAGAGAAGCACTCCTGACTGCGCTTCTTCTTCTGTCTGTAGCATACACGGTCAAATCTTTATGTCATAATGGATTGGTGGGCCGTGGGCATTGTGGACCAATGCCTCGAAGTTGGAAATACCACGGCTGCGGGCAGGGGCAGTCTTCACTACCCGCCGTGATGGGTGTACAAAGCTTTCTCTTGGACCCTTCGTCTCTAGCTATCGCCGCTCGGGGACCAAACCGCTACATCTGCTCCGACTCTCCCAGGCTTCAGAGTGCGAGCACGAAAAATGTCCGACTCAGGTCAGCGAACTTTTGATTGTGTTGCAAGTCTGTCATCTCATTTACGTCCCTAGGCCTAGCAGGCCTCCAACTAGCGCATTGAAGTCCATTGACCCTTGCCCCACCTGAGGCTCAGACCCTAAACCCCAAACCCACGATCCTCTCCGTTCGTGGCCGAGCGGCCACTGGGAGCCTCGGTTGCACGCACTCATGAGGGTATTCATGGTGATCTCCTGCCATCGGAGATGGGCAGCGGAGCAGCGTGAGCCGCGAGCGAGCGCGGGGCTCACGAGTCGCAGAAATCGGTGAAAGGGTGAAGTGAAACACATCGGGCGGTGACCGTGCAGGAACTTTCAAACCATGGGATTCACATGGATTAACCATTGGATTAATGGATTCCATGTGTAGACTTTGGGATGGATTGACATGGGTTAACCATTGGAGCATTTGGACTGATCGCCCGAATCCATCCGAATCCTGGAAGAGCCTCAGTTGAGACAAGGTGAATCTGAAGCTATACAGGCATTGAACACCAGGTTGTCAAAAACTGGTGGCAACCTGGAAGATTAATGAAGACTTGCACTCCCTGAAATAGTGGATAGCATGGCCCCTTGGATGACCATTTTCCAAACACAACGCAGGTGGTGCCATCCGCTTACATGATGACGATGATTTCAGGGAGGGTAGGCTGTGCACAAGCAACAGCCTGACAACTCGACATCTTTGATTCCTGTGCCCGTCGATGTTGAAGGAACATGGTACGCGGTTTGCCGGAGTTCTTCAAGGCCGGACCGGTGATTGACTTGGGATTTGTTCCTTCTTGAACTTCAACTACAGAGGTTAAGTGACCTACTTATAGGACCCTACAGGGGTACCTATAGGATAGTCTATAGGGTTCTTCAACCTCTGCTGGCAGGTACCGGGTGGCGAACTGGCGATGGGATATCCTGGAGGAACGCCAACTCCACTCCACTCGTCCGTCCGCGCTATTCCGCGCTCGCCGGAGCGCGCAGCCCGCTCCGTGGGGGGCAGACTGATCGATTGGAAGATCTGCAGTGCTGCTTGCCATTGGTGAGCCTTCTCACAGGCGTTCATGGCCTCGGAGACGAGAAGACGTCTAAGTTTGGAACGGTGTGGGATCTCACGAACATGGCTGGCCAGGAAGCTCTGGTGAGTGCCTTGTTGCGGCTGGGGACGTCTAGTGAATAGGTTAAACCAAAAGAGAGAAAGAATGCCTCTCAAAGCTCTAACCGCTAGAATTCACTTGCAACCTCCAGCGAATGGAACAATCCAAATTGCCAAGTGGGAAAATAAATACATAAGAAATCCCAGTTTCTTGCTTGTGAATAGCTTCAAAGTACCTTTCTCAATGCTGTCGTGGTTCTCCTTTCTGTAGTTGCAGTACATGGATGCCTCTAATGCCCCATCCAAATCAACCACTTCCACAAGCCATGAAGAACTTGGCCCCCACACCCACACGTGTCAAAAGCATTTTGGAAGTTCTTGTTGTTCCATGCATGTAGTGGGTGTCTTGTGCAAGTCACTTGGCAACCAAACCCTTCGCCCAGTCCGGGCGGAGCTCCAGGTCTGCCCTCCGCACCCGCCATCGCCCACCGAGCGCCCAACGGCATTGAAAGAGACGATGTCTGTCTCTCTCCTGATCGGAGGGAAGGTGGTGACGTGAAGGGTTAGACGTTCTGAGGAGAAGAATCCCCAGTTCTGTTTTCGTTTCGGATGAGTTGAGGGACTTAAACATGCCTTGCCTCTTTCACATACTCATATACTTGGTACATAAAAGTGTCAGGATGTTTTTTAGGCCTTGTTTAAAGTTTGAGGCCTTTTGTAGGCCTCGGATTGGTTGCTGCATGTTGTTGCAAACTATCCTCACGCTCGCCACCGACATTACAGCAAAATTCCAAGTTTCACCTGCTCTACAGGACGTCGAGCACAACACTCCATGAGCTTCTACAAGGGGACACCTGTACCATGCTGGACCTGTATATATCCCAAGTCCCTATGCACGGAGTGCACATTGGATTGCGAAAACTAGTGTGGTCATGGACAACCACCTAGCTCGCTCCAACCACTGCGTGTCCTACCCCCTCCAGCAGCAAATTGAGTGCCCCAACTCAATGCATCTGCATCATCAAACAACATTTCACGTGTCCAAAGGTCAATCACCCCAGCGTAACAAACCCTAACTGTATACTGGATGTTGGATGGGTGAAACATGCTAGCATCCCAATACCATTTAGAATCTAGAACCCACGATGCCAACAGCTGAGCGTCATGCTTTCCAGGATGCCTAATGCCTGCTCCCACTGCTGACCTGCCAGTGCTGAAGCTCCTTCTGGGGTACACAATGGACATGGGAAACATATTGTTTGGAAAAGCAATGGGCTGCTTTTTTGCCCTCATAACTCTTGGCTCTATTGACGAACTTTGGGGATGTGACCCATTTGGTCTCGAGATTGGTTCACCAGTTCCAAGTCATTGTCAGGGAGGAGAATGATCTTCCATGCTTCAGAACACACCTTTCCACCTTTCTCGCGCTCTGGTGGACGCTCCACACAGCGATGGTTCCAGTGTATGGTTGAGATATGGAGGATGAGAAAAACAGTGGATTCAGGTGATCTCTCTCCCGCTCTATCCTCCATGACAGTCTGTGGAACCCCTGGATGATGAGATTGGGAACCATGAGATGTGTGGCTTGCGGTTGTATCAAGATCTTGCGGTTGTATGGAGGAGTGTCCCCTTTGGAAGGGTGCCCTAGAGGTAGACTTCAAGTATCCTCAAATAAAATGACCAAACGTCGCGATGTGGACAAACTAATGCAGCAGTCAACGTGGAAGTCAATTGAAATGGTTAAACATTAAAGTGAAAACCAAACAACATTGCCTTGTCAAAGTCTGTGTGGTTGTTCTTTGTCCGTTTCTGTCCGTTTTCTTGTTGTCAAGACCCCAGCCAGGCCTCGCTCACATGCGCTGATGATGGCATTCTGGATGAACACGTTGGGCCTGGGGAGGCGTCTGTTCCCAGGAAACTGTCAGTACCAGCTACCGTGCTACTAAGTTGCCCTGATCGCAAGGTGGCAAAGATGGGCCAAAGGTGGTCAAGCGCACGTGGGGGAGATTCCAACATCACCAACAACAAGCACAAACCAAAAGCCTGTGCAATCTTTACCTGAAAAGGGCGCGTACTAAAATAGGGAGACCTCCCAAAGACCCTTGGCAGAAGGAACATATACCCAAACCAATTGGTTGGAGATCTCCTTTTTAAAATGCACCAACTGGTTGGAGATCTCCTTTTTAAAATGCACATCCACATAGTGCAACAGAGTAGTAGCGTCAGCAGTCGCAGGCTGACGGTCTCAAAGGAAGCACCACAGGTCACCACAACGGAACGATGTTGAAACTGCTGGACATCGCTAGGCAAGGGGGTGATGCTAAATGGATTCCTTCAGCAAGTGAGCACAATCATTCACAATCTCACACTGTTAGCCAAGCCTTCAGGACTATCTGGTTAGCTCGAATTTTGTGTAAGATGTCCCGAGTAGACCAAGCAAACCACTATACCTTCTTACAGTAGAAGTCCTGCCTGTTCTTGGACAGTCATAACATTGCACCGAGACTCCGATCGAGTGGATCCACCTTTCACTTGTTCGATCCAAGCTTCTGCTGTGATTGGCCCAGCTCAATGGCCTCCTGCCAACGTGAGCCACGGCCCAAAGCGCTCAAGGCCTTGGGGCGGTCACCACCCCGGCACTCTGCTCAGATCAAGATCTCTTTGGCTGCACCCTATATCTGTGGCCACGCCCGGCAACTCATCTCACCATCTGGGTAGGCTCTGGATTTGGGCCTGGCTGATCTAGTAGGGCTATTCCAGTCTGGGAGCCTGTGTGTGTGTGTCAACCCCTGTCTCAAAAGGACCTAATCTAGCTATCTATTCTCCTTGATTGCACAGAAAAAACCAGCAGGGGAGTGGTGCGCGGTCTTGGAGTCACCACTCAACGAAGACACTCCTTGCACCGCGGTGAAATCCAGAAGGGACGCCTTCCGGACGTACCTGCGCCAGTTCTGAACTGTTTAAATTGATGTGTTAAAACATTCTGTTCTCGCTGACATTGCACCTTCCTTTAGTCAAGGTCTAACTTGCAGTAATCTTAAAGGGCTAATGCACACCGCGAATTACCTGAAGACAAGCTCCGCGGAGCAACCTTCTCAAGTGTGTTATCGCAGCTTCTTCCCACCGTGGTAAGCTGTGTGATCCCTACGGGGCGCTGTTACCGAGAGAACCTTCTCACTCCTCACTGTGGGAGTAATTTCTCTGAAGTTTTCTGAAATCCATTCGACTGAATTTTCCTGCTTGAAATCAGCTTGTTCGGAGTGTCTCACCTCGTACACGTGAATTTCACTGCAGAGTTCACTGAATGTCAACTGAATCCAGTCTCACCCCGGAGGAGTCTTTCCATTTTTTAACTTTCACAGCAATTTATATGCGTCGATTTCGGCTTCTCGGCCAGTGCTTCCGGGCCCGTGCCGTTCGCTCGTAAGAGCATTCACCCCACCCCACACCCCCTGCACCTTTTCTTGTTTTTCCTTGCCTTTTCGTTTGTCTTGTTCCTTCCTTCAGGGTAGTTAGGTGTGATCCAGGCTCGTTTAGTCAACGCACGCCCTGCCCCACCCCCTGCACCCCCTGCACCTTTCCTTTCTTTCCTTGCTTTTTCGTTTGTCTTGTTCTTTTCTTCAGGCTAGTTAGGTGGCATCCAGGCTCGTTTAGTCAATGCACGCCCGAACACCCCTCCACCCCATGGCAAAAGAAAAAGAAAAAAGAAAAGGAAAAAGAAAAAGAAAGAAAAAGTGAAAAGAAGCGGTCAAATGCAAGGACGTCCCAAAGAACATTGCGCTGCAGCGCTGCGGCCCCGTCGAGTGAAAAAAGTCAGCTTGCTTGCTACAGTCTGTTCTTAATAGCTTGTGACAATCTACGCTAGCTGCGCCGGTTTTCGGCTTTCTGTGTGTGTCAACCCCTGTCTCAAAGGGACCCAATCTAGCTATCTATTCTCCTTGATTGTGCAGAAAAAACCAGCAGGGGAGTGGTGCGCGGTCTTGGAGTCACCACTCAACGAAGACACTCCTTGCACCGCGGTGAAATCCAGAAGGGACGCCTTCCGGACGTACCTGCACCAGTTCTGAACTGTTTAAATTGATGTGTTAAAACATTCTGTTCTCGCTGACATTGCACCTTCCTTTAGTCAAGGTCTAACTTGCAGTAATCTTAAAGGGCTAATGCACACCGCGAATTACCTGAAGACAAGCTCCGCGGAGCAACCTTCTCAAGTGTGTGTCTGATCCCCTCTTGGAGGGAAGGGGCAAAGTGAGGGTGCACCAATCTCAGCCACTGCCCACCATCTGCAGGTGGGGTGCCACCGTGACCGCAGCGCTGTTGGGCGCCAAGGCTGCGGTCGCAGTGGTCCAAAGCGCCAAGACTTGCTGCCATTGGTGGCTCTTCTCACCTTGAGATGCGACAACTCAATATTGAGGTGGGACCTGAAGCTTAGAACAGTCAAACAAATGCAAAAAAACACACACACACTGATCTGGGAGAAAAAGAGGTATGCCCCATCATGCGTTCGGGTTCCATCATGCGACCACATGTGAGGAAAAATATGCCAAAATCCTGGAACGTTGCTATGGACTACCGTGTCCTGCCTCCTTTTTGCATCAAAACACCACCCAACAAGGTGCTGGCATCCAAATTCAATCTGAAGGTCCAGGTAAAAGCAAACACAACACACCTCATCGCCGGAAGGAAACACATCCTCGAGTCATCCCGACTCCGGCGACTCGGGGTCGCCCGCTCGATCCGACTCCCTGGCGGATAGAATGGATTCTCCAGGACCCAGGCCTCGTTTCGGAGACCTGAGTTGACCAACATCCTTCAAACCGGACAAAACATGCTCTCCCATCCTGAAACACTCCTGGCCAACCCATTCCCTCATCACCGCCCCCCCATCATCCGAACCAGGCAACCAAGAACGAGAACACACATATCACGTCCTGCTTTCCACGTGGCAACCGCTCATGATGGCACTGTAGAGAATCATGTCAGGAGTCAACTGCAGCTCTTGGGCCTCCTGGCGAACTCATCCAGGCCGCGGACGCCCCCGGGGGTGTGTTCATCGCCAAGATCGTCTGGTGGGAGAACACCGTCCAATCAATTCTGCTCGTCTGGTTTGCAATGGTTGCCCAAGGGTTGGATGGACATCCCTCCTTCTTTTGCAAGCAAAGCTGAGGTGAGTTCGACAAAACCAAAGCCAGGAATGCAAAGAAAACCCAAAAACTAAAACTAGCAATCTCAGCGTTCGCAAGTTCTAGCAATTGAAAGTGCCAGTGGCAGTCCGTAGATAAAGGGTTTCTGGCTCGTTGGTCGATCACACAAGTGGGAAAACCTCAACTCCTCCAAATAAATCTACAAAAAAGAATTTGTCTAGTTCTTCAACCCAAGTGCTCATGAAGGCCCAAAGGCAAGTGGAGAAGATCGAACTTCATCTAACATGTCTTCAATGGAATTTCGAGGTGTTTTGAGTTCCTTGATGTTGCTTGAGGTGATTGATTCACAACCTTGCAACGCCACGGAAGGTTTTCACGTTGGAAAGAGCCCCGCCGCCGTCATCGCCGCGTCACGGGCAGCCTCCAGGACTTTCAGCCCTTGCTGCCAAAGCCTGGGGCGACACCGCGACACCTTCCCAAGCTTCCCAGTGCGTAAGTCACCTGCGTTTCAGGCTCCTCGGCTCCTTGTGTGGCTTGCTTAAAGGAAAAGAACTCTTAAAATGCAAAAGATTCTCAAAGTTCCTCATTGCACAACACCAACACACTCGGCTTTACCTGGTATCTTGAGGTATCTTGTGTCTCCCCGGTGGACGAATTTCGTCGTCAACACATCACCTCTCCCAACTGGTGGCCACCTCCTCTAATCGCCTTCAATGAAAGCGTTTCGAGACCTTGGTCCAAGCGTATAGCGCGTGTCCGCGCGTGCCCTGGGAATTTTCTAAATGACCAACTTGGCTTGCTCTCCCTGAAGCGATCATGGAAGTGGATGGCCTGGCCATGCCGGGCCGAAAGAACGACCATGGTCCTCAAATGCAGGTGGGCACGTCAAACCGAAAACAGGGACCCCCAAACAGCGACCCCCGAGTTCGCTCAGAAAAACACCAATGAAACATGTTGAACTACATGTTGAAACATGTTGAAACATGTTGAAACACGGGTGCCCGTCTCACAAACATGGTTGCATAGATCTTGCAATCTTCCGACGTTTCTGGGGGCGGTCGACCGTCGACCCGTCGTCGACCGGCTCGTCCAGGCCGCCCGAGGTCGCCCGAGCGCTTGGCCACCGCCGTCAGCTCCTGTGACGCGTGACGCGGTGACGACACGGATGCGACCACGAGACCAGGTCTCGGCCAGCAGGCCGGCAGTTGGGAAGCTGAAACCGTTTTTTGGATTTTATGCGGCAATTCATGCCCACAGCTACGATGGGCTGGGGATCATGAAGCCAACAAAACCACCCCTGGCCTTTTCTCGGCAAATATGGCAGTCTGGGATGTATGTAGTCTTTGGACTTCTTAGGTCGAGCCATCCATGCAGCGGTTGTGCTCCTGCAAGCTGCTGGCGCTTCTCCGGAGGTTCTTCACCTCTTCGGTCACCTGGAAGGTGCAGGGAGAGGGCCTCAAACCCGGGAGAGGCACCAGAATGGGTCCTTGACGAGCATTCCAAGAGAGGTTGAACAGCCTTATAGCCCATCCCATAGGTACCACTACAGGGTCCTATAAGGTCTCTCAACCTCTCTTGGTTTGAACCTCGAGATTTTAACAAGATCATTCACCCACCATCACCTTTCAGGCAACATTGGCGCAAACACGCCAACAACGAACGCGAATCGGCCATCAATCACCTTCACGAAAGACCCAGAGGAACGGAGTCGAGTCACGTGGAACGAAGAGGATGCTGACAAAGAAAGAACATGAAAGAACATACCGTGGTTGAAGGACCCTATAGCCTATCCCATAGGTACCCCAGTAGGTCCTATAAGGTCACCCCGCCTAATTATCTTGGGATTGTGTTTTTTTGGAAAACGTCGTCTGATCGTCTGATTCGTTGAACAACCAAATCAGTCGGGAGTTCATGTTGGAGTCGTTGCTGCAAGCGTCTGTTCTTTGCACACATCGAAGTGACGAACTGGTCAGCAACACCTGGTAGTGAAAGAACACCGCCTATCTCAAGAATCTCGTGTACAAGGACGCTACTAGGTTGGAGGCCATTACTACTAGTAACAAGAAACTACTAGGAACAAAGGGCATCGCTACTGGGAGCAAGGACGCTATTAGTAGTTCCTGCTATTACTGTATGTGTAGCAGACTGAGAGGACCATGAGACAACAAGAGCCTGAAGACCTGCCTGAGCTCGTGCGAAGCTTCCATCGCGAATGCTGGCCACCTGAGCTGTAGGGGTCGAGGGCTTCATGAAATGAAAGTCGGGATCAATCCCAAACCATCCATGTATGGAATAGTTATCTAATCTTACCTACGCTAGGGTCATAAATGGAGTAGATAAATGAATGCATGTAACTATTTCATTCATGGATGGTCTGGGAATAGAGGGGTGGTCACAACATGAATCATGAAGATTGATTCTGTTCGACCATCAGCTGCGCCACCCATCAACCCACTTGCGAGGGCCATGATTTGGGGAAGAAACACCGGAAGGACTGCATGGGGCGGCCATTAAGTGGGCCAAGGAAATGCCAATCTGAAATACTGCCTAGTTTCCTGGATAAGGAAATTTTGCCGATTGGCACTGGAAATAAAATGAAATAACAATGCAATCAAAGAAACACATGGTGAATATAAACATCATCAGGTGGATGTATATGCTAGCTGCCGCTTGAAATGCCTAATGTTTGCAAAACCGCACTTTCCAAGTTTAGCCTATGCCCCGCCGCAGTCTTCCACCCAGTAAAAACAACGACTTCTTCAATCATGAAATGCACCCCCTCAGCAATCAAACACCTCATGAAACAAAAACAGTAGCAATGGAAACAAAATTTGCGAACTAATTGCCACACCATGCCACATCTACAACTACAATGGGAAAACATGAACAACATTAACGGGTGAAAAACTTTCCGATGAAACGGTCGAATGACGGAAAACTCACGAACACCCCAAGCTTGACCAAGCGCCAAGTCGTCAAACGTGAGAGCCAAAAGGCGAGGTTCTGTGCTTCCGCCACATCACCTGGAGGAATCCGTCAGCTCCGAGCCACGCAAAACCGTTCCAAACCAATGGAACTATTCTGGTTTGGTGGCTTCAACTCGCTAAAAAAAAAAGGTTCGCCTCTTCTCGGTCTGGAGGGGGCTAACAAAGTGTGGAACGCTCAAATGCAAACATGGCGAGCCCGTTTGGCGCTAAAGGAAGCGCGCTTGGCTCGACTCGGGCCCTTTGGGCAACGGCATGATGGATCAAGTGCTCATGTTCAACTTTCACATTGGTGGTGTTTTCTTTTTATCCATCACGCAACTGAATCACTGACCGCTGCAGCCAGTGCAGCGAGGTGTCCCTCAAATCTGCGGACACCTTTGAAAAGGAATCGGCCATCGGCAAGGCACGTTGCAAACAAATCGATTCACCACCTCCTCAATCGACCTGATGTTGACCAAACTAAGTTTGTCTTCAACAGTTGGTTTGGCTAAGGCAACACTCTCACATAGCGACTTGCAATCCGTGGCCAAAAGCGCACGCAAGCGGGGGCCCACTCGGCGGGCATCAACTTTAAAGATCTTCTTGTATGCCTCTTGCTACAATGCGGGTCTTGCTCTTATTGGTCAAACTTTCTTGTTCGTTCCCGGAAAAGTTGACCGGGAAAGGAGTGGAAGTAGGAAATGATGGTACGGCCTTTGCGCCAATATTTCTTTTGCTTGAGGTGTACAATGCCGTAGGGGAGGCTCTTGCTCATGCAGGTGGAGCCGGTTTCAATGACTTCCACTCGGTCTCCCCTTTCTATGCCGACTGGGTGAACTGCCCAATGTACTCTTCTGACTCTTTTTCAACCTGTTTCTTCTCTTGCCTGGTGAGCCTCCGGCCGGTCTTGTAGTCATCAACGTCGGTGTCTGAGTCGGAAAGGGGGCTCAACACGTCATCAGGTATCATCAGGACTGGAGGCAAGCAGCTGGACATAGACCTGGTCGTAGCGCTTAGTCGGAGGCACTGAACCATCACATCCTAGCTCAATCTCATGGATGATATCGCCATACCCAAAATAGCAGTGGTTTGCCTCAGGCAGTGGAAGAAACCACATCTGTGATTATATTTCTTGGGGCTTCAAAAGGAAACTGTTCTTCTTCTTCTTCTTCATCAAGGTCGGCGATCACTTCGAAGATGCGGCGTTGGCATCTATTGCGCGGCGGCATTTGACATAGCTCATCGGTGGCCCTGATGCCATGTGAGTTGAGGTTGTGAAACACTAAGGTCTAGCCGAGGCCAATTCGGGAATGGTCGCGCAAACTCGTTCCTGTTGCCTTTATAGAGTACTTGAAACGTTGACTGTCCACTTCGCTCTCCTTGTCGGAGTAAACCCCCAAGCTGTTCGAAGGCATCCTCATGGGATGGCGAGAGGAGGCCGCCATTCGCGAAAAAGGAAGTGGCTGAGGTTGGGATTCCTCATTTGTTTGGACTTGCTGGCGGTTGCTGCCATATAGCCTTGGATGAAGCCCGACGCAAGGTAACTACTTGAAAATGATGGCGGCGGCAAAGAAGCGAGACCGACCATCCAGCAAAGCTTCCCAGCCTGTGCGTCCGAGTTCCACTTGACTCTGCGTGGCATAGTACTTGTTGCCGCGCCTTTTCTGTCTGCAACTTCAACGTTTCTCGCTTCATCTTGGGCAAGATCTTGTCGATCTCCTGCTGCGCGGTCGTCTCGCGCAACGTCATCCATGCACGGGTGAAGCGACCCATCTGCGGCTTCTTCGACCACTCAAAGCTCAACAGGGTCGCGATGACCCACTCCACGCTCCAGACCATGCCGGTGCACCAGCTTCCTCTTCTAGCCTAGTTGCAAGCCCATTCTTCAATGTCTGCTCAATGCCCTCTGATGATGCCAGCGTGTCCAAATCACGATGCTCTAGTTCTTCCTCTGCAGGCTTGAAGACAGAAAAGTGCAGCATCCTTGCAGCTCATGCAGCTCGTGATCAGGCGCTTGCAAATCTCCAGCTGTCTCTGCCATGGAAAGCTTGGAAGATCGTCCTTGGCATACTTCCAGGCAAGAGGCTGTGGTGGAGCTCCTGATCATATGTCACTCCCTTTTTCAGGTCCCATACGGGAATTCCAAGAAGCTGCTCCATGAGAACTCCTGGATGCTTTGCCACTGCCACCACTGTCAACTGCACGCTGCAATGTTTCGACCAACTGCGACAACTGCTTTGACAACTCTGCATTGCTTTGTTGCTGCAATGTACCACCATTCACCGTACCGACGTTCAATGTATCAATGTTGTCAACATTGCCAACATGCTCAACTTGCTCAACTGTAGCAATGTTCTGTGCTTTGTTTTGGGCTCTTCTGGATCTGCGAATCCTTCTAAACTGAGTGCTGATGATCGGGAACTTGTCCCTACCCTCATGGTATAGTCCTTCATGAGGCGGAGTATATGACGCGAATGTCTGCGACCTCGCACCCAGTGCTTCAATCAGCTGAGCCCGAAGAAACGCTTCATCGGCCCCCCTTCCTAACAGCATTAACCCTCGCCGGTCCAAACAAGGGTGTCATTCCCACAACTCTAACAACGCCAAAATGGCTCCGAAGCCGCTGAAACCTCAGAGAAAGGCAAAGGGTCAACGTGCTCACCTTGCTTGGATAAAGCGGCGAAGTCAAACATGACAAACGGGCTCCGGTGCCAACTAGTGCACCCTCTTGCTCGGTCTGGAGGGGACTAACAGGATGCGGAACGCTCAAACGCAAACATGGTGAATCCTTTTGGCGCTAAAGGAAGAGGTCTTGGCTCGGGCCCTTTGGGCAACGGCATGATGGATCAACAGGTGTTCAAACGCTCATGCCATCTCATGCCCAACTTTCACACAATCATCCCAAGTAAAGGTCGAAAAGAGATTTCTGAAAATACCACCCAGTCCTTTCTTCTTCAGACGCTCTGACGGCCTGCTAAGCATGCTACTGGACATGGAACACTTGTGCCTCTTCAGCTCAAGGGGCTCAACACAACAAACAGCCATTTGGTTGCTCCGGGGATTGAAGAAAGCCATTCGGTTGCACAGCCCCGTTCCGTGGCGCGCTGTGGTTCCACACCTTCACGCGGCACCGACATCACCGTGAAGCCACGAGCTCCGAGCTGGCGCCGTGAGGTGCACGCGCGGCGCCGTCCGTGTAAGTGCGGTGCACGCGACCATGGCGTCATCCCAACGTGCGCAACGCAACGCACGCTACGCTGGTCTCAGCATTTCGGCCATGATCTGCAACTTGATGTTTGGAGGTAGGTGCAGGCCTTTCTGATGTTCCTGTTGTGACTGTATCTTTTTGTTTTGATGACCTTTGGCCTGCAAGGAAGGAGGGGTGGTAGCCTCAAGTGTGTGGGTGAAAACTATGTGTTGTGAGGATTTCACTTATGAATGCTGTCAGTCTTCTTGTCATGTTTAAGCCAACTTGTGAGGTCAGCTGCGGACGCATCGGACACCGCGCTGAACTCATGGAGCCGTCGCGACCGGACTCGCCACATCGGCTGAAAAAAGCTGCGCCGGAGAGCAAAGGGTGGTCAAAACTGGTGGCCAATGAACCCAGTATTGAACACTTAGAAACAACCAAGCTGCCCTTGGTTGGCAAAACCTACAGCTTTGTACAACTCTTTGATGAAAGCACCCCAAAATGATCCCCGGACGGCACCTTTTGGACTGGATCTGGGGCTGTTGGTGAGCTTTCGTTATTGAATGTTGCTAATATATGATTGATTATCTTACGGGTGCATCAATGTTCTTTTAGGTTGACATGTTGGCTCTAGCGGCAGGCCCCCCAAATCAAATGGATTGCCAAAAAATTGCCAATACATGTTCCAAAGGCGTTAGTTTGGAGTTCACGGAAAAATATGTCAGGCTATTCTGTTGACATTGTGTCCAACAAATCGTCGCACCCTGAATGACTTATTCCATCACATTCCATCACTGATTGTTTGCAAGGAAGCGCAATCCAATGTACTAACCCTAGGGATCCAAGTACCTTCTCAGAAGGTGTTTGGGGTGGCTGTGGAGGGTCCAAGTGCCTTCTGAGAAGGTACTTGGATCCCTAGGGTAACATCCTCCTGTTACAATTTCTCAGTGGTGATCCTTGGGCAACAATATGACCCCAGCCAGAATACACAAAATTACTGAGCATTATTGTACTGCGGCCACTCCGGAATGACGTGTCCCGTTCTTCCCAAGGCAACCCATGTTGGGCGGCCGGGCCAGCGGCGGCCACCCTCAGACGTCTGGGCAAAGTCCCGCTCTGAAAGGTCGGAAGATCTGAGGAGCACTGGTATGTCAATGTCTGTGAGTCACTCAAGCCTGCCTCCAAAAAATCATTATATAACAAATACACACAACATACATCGAGTATGTCTATTCTATCATGTTGATACATGTTGTAGCTACAATGTTACAATTGAGCGTTGTTTCCGTCTGGTGTGTGGAGCCCTGATGGACCTCATCATTCTCATCCTCCAAGAGGGCTTATATATATATATAAGAGAGAGAGAGAGAGAGAGTTGAGATTCCTGACTCACCAACGCAGACTCTGTAGACCTTAAAGTTCTGCCGAATGATTTACAGTTGCTTCTACCACCGACTATGCTTCGAACTGGAGGCCGGCGAACTGGGTCCAACTCGAAGTCTTCCTTCAATGAGTCTGACTACTCGATTCGGCCTCCCACCCGTAGGATTCCCTGAGATCCCGGCGCCATCACCGGCGGAATCTGACGGCACCAGGCGGCGCGGGACGCGGGGTGCTGCGGCGCCGACCCCGCCGCTCGGCGCCTCAGGGACGCGACGTTCCGCCATATGGGCGATCAGTTCAGTGAATCTGAGACCTCGTCTGCAACGATTGCACCAGAAAAATATTTAAAAAAACACCAAAGAGAGGGTTGATGAGACTGTTGATGTGATGAGTAGTCAAGAGGAGTCTGATTTTAACATGCGATGGACATCTCAGAACGATTTCTTCAAGTTTCGACTTCAGGGTCGAAGTCTCTCAAATGGTAAAGCCATGTAAGGCTGCGCAAGCTACCCACATTTGGGCTGCTCTAGCTATTGCACGCCATTTCTGGTCCCAGTGTTCACTCCAGCACATTAGGGAACAGTGACAGGCCACAATGGAAGCAAATTGCGCACTTTGGCACTTTGCTAGGGCACTCTCTCTCCAAACATGAGGAGATGTGTGGCCATGGTGGTGATGTTTGTGTATGTTTTGTCTTCACTTAAATGACCCAATCTCGAGGGCATCTGAAGACCAAACGACGAAACGTGCTTCTTCTGTTTCTTCACGTTTTTCCATTCATTTGCTTCCCACCAAGCCATGGGAGCCGGACTGTCAAACACTGGCTGTGTTGTGTCGATGTCTCCGCGATTCGAGCCTGATACTGTAGTTCAAGTGGCCCCAAGACCCACGAGATTTCGCCAAATAGATCTATCCCAAACACTCCATTTATGCCGCAGGGTTGGTTGTGGGGGTCAATTGATCGGCATATTATGGCAGTCCCATGGGGTGTCTGGGTAGATCTACCATGACCGTGGTGTGTCTGGGGTAGATCCCAAACACCGACGAGGTCTGCCTCCCGAGCTCTGACCTGGTGGCGACGTGGAGGGCGGTGGCGACGAACGGCTGGAGATCCACACGCGGACCGGCAATGGTGCATTCACCATAATGCCAACCTAGGATTGAGTATGATTCAGTATACCCTCCCCCTATGATTCAAGCCCAGCATAATGCCTCCCCCCCAAATACTAAATCTAATGAAAAACGACTTCCTGGTGGAGGTGGTGAATCTCCTTAATCCCATGATGAACCCTTTATATATACCTTCACCATCACCTCCCTATGTGACTCAGTCAACTTCGGCCGCCTTGGCTGCCCGGCCCCGTTCCACCATTCTCGACCCGGAAGGCCACCGAGACCAGCGGGTCTCGGTGCGAGACCAGCCCTGGCAAACGTGGAAAGGGCAGTCTGGGCACGTACATACGAAAGTTGATGGTGCGGTCTGTAGCGTCTCTGAACGAGAAAGGAGATGCATGAAACATCAACAAAGCTTGGATGTGGTGTCTGCAGGCTCGCTGAAAATACAACAATAAGGGACCTGAGCAATCCTTGGCAGTTGCCAGCTGCGCTGCAAGTTCCAAAAGAGGAGGTACAAGTGCAGCTAACCCAAACATGATTCTTCCACAAATTCCAACAGGACTTCAGCACCCACAGTGATTGACATCATAGCATCACATAGATTCAAACAATCCGCCAATAAGAAGGCCCAAACCTAAGCTGTCACTTAGCCAGCAAAATCGCCCCCCCAAGATCGCTTCGCAAGATCCTGGACCTTGAACTTGGAGTCACACCAAGCTACACTCTGCTTCTCAATGCAAGACTTTGGATGGTGTTGCTCAGTCTTGCATTCCCTATGTTGCGTCAAGCCACCGGGTGCAAAACAACCATGCAGGGGTTCAAGCAAGGTCTCGCACACCTAAATACTCCCGCAAACAGACTTGCCGCAACAGTTGCAGCAACTTACACAATGGGCCAAGTGGCTTGACAAAACCAAGTCTTTCAGGTGCTCGTCTAGTGACATCGGGGACCGTATGGGTAATTCTATCCTCACCAGGGCGAACCCTTAAACGCCCCTGTGAAAGGGAAGGTCAATGAACATCCCGATTTCAAAAAAAAAATGCTGATTGGAGAAGATGGTTCGCCCCTGCCTGGCACCAGCATCATGGCGGCTGTCTCGTTTTGAGCACCGCGTGCTGCAGCAGTCTGTATAACCAAAGGAAATAGCAACATGCGCCATACCATGAAGAGGCCCCAAAACATGTCAACAACCGAGAACCTTTTTCATCCCCGTCTGTCTCCTCCTGGCCAAAACGATATAAACCGATGCCTCACACTTGAAGTTTCGACCAATGAAAAATTGGAGTGACCTGGAGGTACAGCTAGGAATGGGCATGAATCCCCAAATGATCGCACGAAACCATTTGGGCATCCACATTGCTCACTCCTCCTGATGCATGGTCCTCTATCTTGAAAGGGGCAACTGGTTGTGTAGCTAGTTCTTGCCTGGTCTAGCCAAACCGCAGCTTTTCGGTGATTTACTACCAGCCAAAGTCCTAGCCCATTTGTCCCGCTCCCAAGTTTTAACTCCAACTGGTGACTGCTGGCCAGCCGCCTGTCTTAAGCCTGTCTGGCCAATTGCCATGACAGGTCGGGTGAAACAAATCGCCTATGGCATGTTCCGTTGCCCTCATCAATCATAAAGGTTTAACCAATTCTACAGTAGACGTCCTTCACTTCCTGCATGTCAAACTGCTAATTGAAGTAAACTGTTCAGAAAGCTTCCAGCATATTTCACTTAATTACTTATATTATATATGCTGAATATGGATATCATATGTATATATGCAATGTACTATGCAATGTATATTGTATATAGGGAAGAAATGTGAGGGGTTCCTATGAGGTGAATGCACAAGAAACATGGTTTTCATGGTCATTTCTACACATAGCTGTGAAGCACATGGTTATTGCACTCGAAATCCTTTGCCTTCCATGCATGTGTTTGGCCCACACCAAAGTCACCTTCGGTGCAGCCTTCCAAACACATGTAACCCATGGACCCATTGACCCGAACTGTACCGTATGGCTGTGCCCGGCCGTGCGCGTCGAGGATCACGCGCTGATGCCAATCTGCGTGGCAAAGGCGAGCCTGCGACGTCCGGAGCTTCCAAGGGCCCGGGAGAACAACGAAAACAACACTGGTTCTACATGGCAATGGATGGATGATACACTGATGTACTTTTGACAATTTGACTCATGGAACATCGCATAAAGTCACTATCTATATCTATCCATGTATGTCTATCTGTCTATCTATCTATCTATCTATGCATGTGTAATATACATAATTGTAGTTATATATATATATATGTGGCCCCGCTCAATCCTTCTTCTGAGTGCTGATCATTGTCGTTGAGTTTGACAAGCTCATTCCCCATGAAACGAAGGAAGCTTGCTGGTGGCACCAAGAGAGAAGCCCCGTGCCGAACAGAACAAACTCAAATCCTTCTTCTCTTTCTATGTGCCTCAGCAATCACATATACAAAGGACGGACCGGCCAAAAAGAAAAAAAAACACAGCACAAACATGATCCCTGAGGCTTCGAGCCTACCCTTCCTAATACCCTGGTTGCACCGAAGATCGTTGGTGGTACTGGAGTTCTTGCACCAATCTAAACGATCAAGATGAAGCTAACCTGGTTGAATGAAAATGCTGCTAAAACGGAAACGAGGAGCAAGGAGCCGCAAAAAATGCCTCAGTCAATCGGCGAGACGGAGGTATACCCCACAAACATCGCTGATTCACGTAAGAATAAGAAAGTTAAAAAAAGGATACAACAACTACAAATCCATCCCGCAAAACACCTTCTGTCACTTTAAGCACTTGGATTGGGATCTCTTTCTTGGGTCACTCTCACCACTAGTAACTTTGGGGGAGGGTATGGGGAGGATCATGATGTGCCATGGATGTTTGCCTGGCCCACCAGAGCAAAAACACATCAGAAAACATCACATCAACACCAACACCCCATCTTCCCTTTCGTCGCCAATCCAACCCCGTCCGATCGCCCTGGGCCATTCTTCCGAAAAAACGGCCCTTAAAACCGAGAAGCCTGTCACCATGATGGCGCTCATCATCATGCCTCCAAACTCCAAACATTTGTTTCAAGAAAGAACTTGATTCCAGGGCCAACTTGGGTGAACCTACCATGAAACCAGTCTTTCCATGCGAAGAACCACTACGTCGGTGACTGGGGGATGTGTAGGACAGTGTACACCACCTCCGGGCGAATCCGAAGCTTCGCGGAATTCTCCTGCGACTTCCCGTCGCTCCAGGACGCTACAGCTTTCTGGGCCATACATCATCGCCAAGTTGGCCTTGGTTCGAAGGCGAACGAAAGGCATTGATTCTTGGTTCCAAAAGGGCAAGTTGGTTTCACGGCCATTTCTGGGAGTGGAAGATGGAGAGGACGAGGTTTAGCGGTCTGCTAAAGGTCTTTTTCCATCCCCAGGAGCTTATATAGCACAACCAAGTACAACTGGCATCTGAAATTGCCCAAATCAAATCCAACTTGCGTACCGAACACACCACCGATGCACCGGTCTACGGCACTCAAGATCACTAAACGGGGACTGGACTGACACCGTCTGGCAAATACCAAGGAAAACGATCCCAGGTCACACTCACGGTCTGGTTTTCCAACGTTTTACAACCAACGTCGGGCCAACACCGAGCGTCTGCCAGGCCGTTGCTGATCGCAAAGAGCCCACAAAGCAGCAAGCGTCCCAGGTCCGAACCCCAAAGCCTCGATCGGAAAATGGTGTGATTCAATTGGTGCGATTCAACGTACTTCCCGACCAACCCAAACGTACATGGATACCTTGGTGTCTTCGATACCTTGGCCGTGAAGATTAGGCGCAAAAGGTGCGGAATTCAGGGGTCGCAAGGAATTCTGAGTGGAGCACATTCCGAACGAAGCATATTATATCCATGATGCTTAAGGCATCTTAAGGCTAAGGTGGATATTAACTAAATGACGATGCATTCCTTATACTGTAATGACGATGCATTCCTCATACTGTAATAGTGTCTGCCATAGTTCATTTCTCACAATAATGAAGGCATTCCCCAAACCCCCGGTAAACATCATCCAATGATCCTCATGTGGCTTACTCCTGTTGTATAGGACGGTTGTTCAGTTTCGGTTGTTTAGTTACAAAAAAATACAAAAATGTATAAAAATGTATAACACACGTGTAGTAACCCAGAAACGGTGAGGCTTCCGGCAAGCGCTGGCCCAGCATGAAAAGTGGGATGAACGCGAAGCGCCTCAGGCGGCAAACGCCATGGTCGTTGTGGCCTGCGAAAAAGCTGATCATCTAGTTGGATATTTGTTGTCACAACGACTGGTTGCTGGGTTTGTGGCCGGACCTTGAAACATGAAGATGGGATTATGACACAGGGCATAGGGCATAGGACGGGGTCCCGTTCACTGGGGACAAATGCCCCCCGCGTGAAAGGGTAAAATGGGTCACGCGATACCCCCTGGGGACATATGAAAATGAGCAATGCCTCTTCAAGCCACTCGCTACAGTGGGTTTCCATTTGATGTGAGGCCATTGTAACTCAAAGGAGCAAACATGTCGTTGGTTGGACAATGGTATATATCAGGCCACTTGAAGGCAGGATTCTCTTGATGGCATCTGGTCTCCGTTTCTTCCAGGCGTCGTGCCTAGCATCCTGTTAGCACCTTCACCAAAGAATAGGCACTGCACTCAATCACAAGCCTGGATTCCATGGAGATAACATGAACCCCAACCGACAAAGCTATTACGGGAACTCTTAGACTCTTAGACATGATCAAACAAGAACCACACAATGATAGATTTTTGGAAGGTTACTGGGTCATTGTTGCTTACTGTCAGCTCAGGCCCCTTCGTGCTAAGGTACATTTCAGAGGCAACTCCAGAGCCATGGTTCAACCTGTTCTTGTCGACATGTTCCAACAAGACTTCCCTCCGGAAAACTAACAAAGTGATACATAGCTATGTGGGGCGGGCATGACTGAATGGGCAACGCCACCATGGCGGATATGCTGCTGGAAGGGCATCCATTGCTTAGTCAAGAGAACGGCGCCATCGACTCTAATTGTGCTACAGTATATATGCAATATACAATAGACACTACAATAGACTACCACAACGCACTGTATATGCACCATTCCATCTGCGCGTAAAGAAAACTACGCTCACCATCACCAACCCACTGACCGTAGCTAGACCTTGGTCAACGTCCTCTTCACTCACCACTCCTAAAACACACACACACACATCAGCCTTGCTCAAAACCCTTCTTCGGAGGGAAAGATTGGAAGGAGCTGCCTACACATGTTAGTTCTCAACTATGCAATTCCTCCTGTTCACTCTGAAAACATCGGGCAAGCTTTTGGACTCGCACCCTTTTGGATCCTCAGTCTCCCTCCCCCACTCCATGCTTTCGCCAGGGGTAGACCAGACTCGAGGACCTACTTTGAGCTCCACCGGACCCAGCAAGCGCAGCTAGGCCACATGAGCACCAGGACCCACAGCCGCTTGGGTCCGATCCTCCGTCCGGCCGGGCCAGCCATGGTGCGGCCCAACACGTCGCCCACCTGCACGGGAGCCGTCCGAGGCGTAGCCGACTGGGCTTCCAGTGCCACCGTTCTCTGATGTTGATGGAAAACCTCCAGTGCCAGCGATTTTTGTTGGGAGACCCTTTTGTATATATAGTTGTTTTTGCTGACGGCGTCATTAGTGACCCCTGCGTTCCGGACCATTTTTACTATCTCCAAGGACCATTTTAGCGTGGGGGTGGGTGGGTGGGGGGGCTAAATCCGTCTTGTTGTGGCTCCTGGCCGTACTACTAGTAGCAAGGACGCTACTAGGACCTCCTGACCGTACCACTAGGAGCAAGGACGCTACTAGGGGCTCCTGGCCGTACTAGTAGGAGCAAGGACGCTACTACGACCGCCACTAGAGGCTCCTGGCCGTACTACTACTTTGTCCATGTGGAATTGCATTGCGAGTTTCAGAATAGTGGCTTCAGGGATGCCTGAGCTTTTTCGGCTTCAGGATGCGGGACCTCACAGCTCGTGAGGTGTTGTCGTTGTGTTTAGTAGTTCTGTTGCGGTTGGTTAGGGTACCTTGTCCGGATCCTCGGTTGAAGCGGTGGTTCGAAGTGGACGTTGATTACGTGGATTCTTTGATTTCTCTGGCAACCAGACACACGGGACCTCTTGACAGTTTTGTGTTGGACACGGTTCTGGACCCGGATCGTTGGACGTTATCTTTCGAGGTTCTAGGCACTTGTCACGATGTGTTATACTCTTCGTGGACCGCGGTGTATAGCAGTTTGTTACATTCTAATTGTTCTGGTCATCGTAAAAGACGAGGGGGGTCTAAACTGACCCACTTGCGCGTCGTATTTCCAATGCGTTGGAGCATTTTCGCAGGGCCTGTAGTGGTGAAAACCATACGAAAATAACGTCATGAAAGCATGAATGAAACACAAAACCATGCGTTTTCCCATGGATTCTTGGTTTTCATGCATGATGGGAATTGCTCAAAACCACAGGGTCCTTAACAACGCCGGCACCTTGTTTTTTTGGGCCATACACTGGGATGGAAAACCGCCCATGGTTTTTGAGAGTCTTGACCGAAGAAACATGAAAAAACAATTGTTTTAGGGGGTTCACACTTTGAATCAAATTGACTTTGCTCACTAACACGGAAGTGGATTGCATGGTCCCTTGGAAAACTACTTTTCCTCTACAAAGTTGTCCACTTTCATGTTAGTATATGTTAGTGAGTCGGAGTGTGACATCTTTAGATCCAGCCAAGTGTTGTTTGTTTTTGGCACGCGTCTTTAGATTGGTAGGATCTTGAAGGTCGCTAAGCCGTCGCTACGAGTCATCAAACGAAATTGAAATTCGATTTGGGCGCTTCAACTCAACAAACACAAATACTTTGGGTGCCTCCAATCATCACGATTACACTTCTTGAAATAATCTTGGAGAACCTCCTGTTTGTAGATGTTTGTAGAGGAAAATGGTCGTCCCTTCCATGCTGATTTCAGGGAGTGTAGCATCGTTAGCGGATAAAGGTCCTAGCATGTTGACCAAGACTTCATGCAAGTGAGTATGAGACTCATACAGCATGAGAGTAGATGGCACAATCCCCAAAAGGTGGCTTTATATTGACCCCTTGTGCAAAAGACATCTTGGGGTGCCAGTGCCATCTACTCTCAATCCACTGTAAGTGAGTATGAGTAGGACAACCCTCTAAAAATAGAAATAACAAGGCCACCGAGGCCGCACCCCTCGCAGCCGGCCGCGTGGGTGTCAGGCCCTGGAAGTCAGCCCAGCAGTAAACGACTCCCGCTTCGCGCAGCGCACGATCCCGTGTTCGAGTTGCAGAACATACCCTGTTGTTCTACCAACCACCCGAGCAGCTCGCAACTACTCTAACATCCTGGAAGAGGGTCAAATATGTCAAATTCATTCAAATTCCTGAAACAATTTTGCAGCTCTGGGGTTGAGGTGCTGATGGAGGCGCGAAGCAACTTCAAACTGCTCCTGTACTAGTAGGCGCCATGGATATTCCTCGGGGGCCTTCTGGTTGCGATATCAAGGCACGACCGTTGGCACCTGAGAAACAGCACAAACTTGAGCCTTTCCGGAGGCACAAAACAAACGAGCTGAGATGTCCATGAGCTGGCAGCAAACTGGGGCGTTCACCAATTGACGACGCACCAAACAGAGAAGCTCTTGCGAACACGGTTGATGACAAGGTGCGAAAACCCTTGGCTGACACTACTTTGGCATCGTAGTCTGTCGTAGTCTGTCTGACTGCCACGTGCTTCCGTGGTCTGTCCTTGGAGTGCTTTTTTGCCTGAGAGTTGTCACTATCAGCAGGTGTGCCAAATAACTATAGATATCTATAGATCCAAGCGAGCTCCTGGGGCCGCCTGAGCTCAGTGTGGGCCAAGAGCTTCGGTCTGCCTTACAGAGATTGAAATCATGGGCAGGATGCAATATTGCTTGTCCCGGACGGCCCATTTGTTCTCGTCTCTGCCATTGGTTGCGGTGAACGCTTGCTGACCTGGTCACGTGGATCGAAAGTATGGTGCCAATGGCCTTGGTCTCCTTGGTCTTAGCTACCAATGCAACTTAGTTATACCATTTGAACATCAATTGGACACTTCAACAACCTTTAAGTACACCACTTGTAGCATATCTCTGATCCGGCGATGTTAACACGAATTTCAGTCTATGACACTCTATGTATCTCTATGTGTTACCACCCACCAGCTACAGAATCATTAGCTGTCAGCACCGTCAGCATCCCTCCAGCACCCTCTCTAGCTCCGTCCGCAGACAGCTGCTCTGGCGCTCCCCCAGCTCCGGCGCCCCCAAGGTCCCAGAAACGCCGGCGCCTGAAAGCAACCGATGAGGATATTCCCGTACATCTGCTTGTTCTGTCTAAAGCTGGAGCCTGCCTGACAGTCAGAGCTTTCTTGAGCCGCATTTTTTGTGGTGGATTTGTGTGGAGAAGTCAGTGGAGAAATGCTCACCATTGTCGTCTTCATGTTCATGAAGAAGATCCCGCCAGATCCGCCCACCTACGAATGCTCGCTGTTCATCCCTCCCTCAAGTGTGGACCGAACCCACCCGTTCGCGCCAGTCGAATGCATGTATATAAAGGCCAGTAGACCAGTAGACCAAACTGCCAGACCCCCCCCATGTACTCAACTACCTAAAAGACTTCTTAGGCTGCTTTGGACAAGCATCACCCTGCATTCGATGTAAAAAAACACATTGAAACATCCCTCTACCCCAAATGCAACCAAGCGGCCGGTGGCTCCCAGTGCACTATCACGCCGGGGAAAATGGCCATGGTGACCATGAATACACCCCAAACATTCAGCGCCTGCAACGGCTCCAAAGTGCCCAGATGCCCCACAGGTGACCGTGAGGTAGTGGAACATGCTTGGCAATTTGATGCACACAATCAACTCAAACAAATCAATGGGTCTATCAGGCACCTTCTGAAGACCATGGACCCAAGCGTGAGGAATCAACACCCGGATGGGCCAGTTCTTGAGTGCAAGACATGCGACTTTTCACTGCAAAAAGAACCATCTCGTGAGGCGTATTGAAACCCTACGAGGTGAGAGTAAAGCACTGCAACCTGGCATCCAAGACGCAACTCCTACAAGTGACCCGTGGGTGAATTAAACCACAACGTCCCTGGTCCAAGAGAAAATATCTATTTGGGTGTTTCCCATGACCACATATTGCCAGTAACAGTGCACTATGATTGTTAGTCAAGGCCTGTCTCTAGAATATTCCAAAGTCGTGATATATAGCCTTTTGCTGGTTAAGACACGATACAGTTACTGGCGGAGTGGGACACACCCCCGTTCTTCTTCGTCCCCAAGTCCGCCATGTGGTCATCCTCAGTGCCCCCCCCTCGGTCATCGTCCGACCACGTCAGCCTGTGGCCAAACCTCTAGGATGATCGGCGACAGGCGCTTGCAGATCTGACCGAAGGCCGATGTGGCATCCTGAGTCCCAAATAGGCCAAATGACAACGACTGATGTGTACACACCCGCCCTGAACTCATAGGTTTGCTTATGCTTTGCTTATACCAGTAGGTGACGGTACGTGGATTGCAGCATGGTCCCCCATGTTCGGACTGTTCCTTCCGAGGACCCAACAAATCAAGGCTTCTGCGTGCTCCGACGTCCACCACCCCACCAGTCCGGCGTCGGGTCCCGCATGGATTGTCACATCTGGCTCCAAAGATCAGTCCAACGGTGGCACGTAAATGAAGTAACTATATATATATATTATAAAGGAACCCATATTATATATTGTATAAATAAATGTTTGTATATATATACACTATTTATATATATATATACACTATATATATATTTATTATACTTATATAGTTAATTCAATAAATAAAGATTCGATTGACACGTATTGGCCAATTATCATTGTTTCACTTGTAATGTAGAATGTTCATGAAAAGCTGTAAGTTATAACTACAATGTCATATATATATATAATTTTTCATTATCACCGCTTGTCCTCATATCGCCACCGGTGAAAGGCGCTCGTGGATGCCACCGTCCAGATTTCAACACTGAGACGAGGAAAACACCCCACCGTCACCACCCCATGGCCCCCCCACAACCAACAAAAAGAACATGACTCCCCATCTCAACTCCAAAAAGCAAATCAATTATGCCCACCAGCAGGAGGCTGCTCTGCCCATCCACACATCATAACACTCATGCCACACCCTTTCGGCTTCGGCTCCCGATGGCATCGGTTCCTCTTCCCCAAGGCACTGCTGGATCCCATGTGGGGTTCGCCTGCACTGTTTGCCGCTGGGACCGGTTTTTGGGGGCTCGCAGGCTGGTCCGGTGATGGGCGGATGCAGGCCTTATAGGGATGCGATGCTTCAACATCTCCAATACCGGATCGAGGATGAATTGGTCATTGTTGGGTGACATCTAGCTGAAATGATTCATCTGAGTCTAAAAACGTGAGCCAGGAAGGCAGGACAGAGTGAGAATGCGATCGCATCAGCTTGATCGAATGCAACTAGCTTGAGAACAAACTATGTGGAACACCTGAGGCCTGAGGCCTGAGGATTGGATAACCCCCTTTTTGAGTTCGTTAAATGACCCCGGGTTTAGTGTAGAACTATATGTTCGATGGAGCCCGAAGTGGCGTGATGCCTCGCGTGGCGTGATGCCTCTGTGGTCATTGAACCTCCAATCCTCCCATGCCTCTTTGGCCGAACTACCAAGAGTCGCGAGTGTCGCATGGTCAACGCTGTACACTGCGTCTCCGCCTAGGCGACGAAGAGCACG